TTTGGCCCAAGACTATATATACAAAAGACGTATATATATCAATCAACTGAAGACAAGAAGAAATTAAGAAAGAGTCTACATTAACATCCATTCATCTAGTTTTTTACATTGGCTAGCCAGCCAGTCTTCTATTCAAGTTTTGTTCCCACTTCAAGGGGGGAGAGAGAAGAATCGAGTTACAAAGCTGTTTTGGAACTGGGAAAACAAACTTGAAGAGAAAAAAAGAATCTAGACTGTCACAGAAGAACTGTGGTTTGTAAGAAAAAGAATGTTTTCAAATCACAAAGACTGTAGAAGACTATTTTCTACAAATGAAACAAAAAGCACAAGATACAACGTGAATTCTAGAATCAAGCACGTGGCATAGATTGGCAAGCGTCCAGATCCAAGCCCAGAACTGCGCAGCTGTGTGGATGAAGCAACTAAATAGACAGAAATAACTGATATGGTAAAGCGTGACAGATCCTTGTGGCAATAAATCAGGAAAGCATTCCTTCAGACAACTGGACATCAACTGTTGGAAAAATACTTTTCATCTGATCTGCAAACTGTGATGGAAGATTCTACAGAGTTTCATTCGATACAGAAGATTAACAGACTTACAAAGAAATAAAAGATTGACACTAACATACATATCAATTCCTAAATATTAACGAAGAAGAAAACAGACAATGAAAAGTTATTTAACAGTTATGCGTGTATTAATAAATGTGTAACACATGGAGTAAAATTACGAAAGGATAGTATTATGAAGTGAACTATTACATTATTACCTATACACAGAATGAGAAGTATCAGAAGTAGATAAAATATGAAGTTGATAAAATAAGGATCAGGGTTACTTAATACTACAAAGAGTGAGGTTGATACTATTTCATAGATTAACTATAATAAATAATTTGTTTATATCGAGGTGAAGTAAAACAAACAATGGTAATATAAGAAAGAAAACTAAGGAAGGATAATTTATATTTATTAATATTAAGTCATTATATACATTAAGAATAGCTTGGATATAAGAATTCGGAGATACAAGAGGAATTGAATTGAGTTTAGTTAAGAGTATAGTACACAATTATATTTGACCTAAGTCTATAAAGGTATGGACTAGGGAGAATAGGTTTCTGGATATGACAGTATCCAATGAATGAATAAGTTGTTATTTGATGATTATCTTGAGTTTGTTAGACACAGATTAGGAATAAGAATTTCTGGGCAGTATGACCCCAAGTTTATTTTATTTTATTTTAATTTAGTCAGTTGAAGTGTACTAAGGAATACGGATTGGTCAGAACATTAGGACAATCCTGCCTTTAAGATGTATTACATTAATAAGTCATCACAATTAAGGTCTAATGAGGAGAGTGATGATAATTAATTTATATTATACTTTCCAAGTTATTTTAAAGTAAACTATGTTTCTATTGAATGAAAAGTTTGTTACTACAAGGTGGAATTTTAGTGAAAATTATAATTATGTAAACAAAAACAAATCTATGATAGAAAGATTTCTGGGTGGAGATTTTCTAGAACAATAAGTATTGTCAACAACATGAATATTATGTGAAGAATTATTAGAGAACTTCATGGTTGAAAACAACACAACCATTGAATGTTTAAAAGAATATTATGAGATTTATAAGTAGTGTTGATATATTTCAGGTAGTGAGAGCCTACTGAATATACAAATTAAATACTATGATTGTAAAGTACTGATTCAATCATCACTAGATGGCATTAATGGTATAGGAATGTAATTCATGAATACAAATGACCTAAAGATTTTAAGTTACTAAAACACATATGATTCATGGAAATATAATTGGACAGGATATTATAGTAATACATGTATTAGTACTTTAGTAAAATCAGGTATTGAGAATGAAAATACTTTGTTATATGTGTCTTTATTAGGAATATGATAGTGATACACAGTTATTATCTAGAAAGTTATCATCTTGATTTTGTTATCTACAAAGACATGACTGTACCAGAGCAGGTGGATCTTTCTGATTGCTTTACATTGTTTATTGGATCAACATTTGTAAATATTTTATTTTATTCATTTATTATTGTTATATGTATATATTATGTTCAAGTAGTTATGATGTAACATGGATATGGATATCAATACATAGCTGAAACAGAGGGAGTTTGAAGTAAAGTAAGCAGTATGAGGATAGAAAGTATGAGGATAGAAACTCGACCTTCTAAGAACTCTCATATAATAGAAAGTTGTGACTACATCTTGTTCTATGCTCAATGAATCTGATACAAGTGATGTATGAATGGACAGGTTAGTGACATTGTGTTATGGTTTTAATTCAAACCATAAACAGAGGGAATGTAGAATATTGCATATTCTATGTTTCTATTGTTATATATGGATGTGTGGATTGACATAAGTAACAGATGGTCTAAGTCACAAGGCTTTCTTTGTCTGAGAGCTCTGGAATGTAAGTTAGAGGTTTTGTCCTTATATGGATAGAGTTATAGTCTGACGTCATTATGGTCATATCTATATAGTAAGAGACAGGAGGTCAGACAAAGAAAGCCTTGTGACTTAGACCATCTGTTACTTATGTCAATCCACACATCCATATATAATCAATAGAAACATAGAATATGCAATATTCTACATACCGTATATACAGTATATTTTTGTAATCTCTGGGATTTATAGTCAACAGGGCCCTGACTCCCACTCAGACAATTCAATTCCTATGGGGATTCTGGCGACGCTTGTGGTCCTCGTGGATAGCATGAGGACGTCCAGCGTGTTTTAAGAACCCGGATGTCCCTCTAGTGGCTGTCTGATAGACAGCCACTAGAGGAGGACTTAACTCTGTAAGGTAATTATTGCAGTTTATAAAAACTGCAATAATTACACTTGCAGGGTTAAGGGTGGTGGGAGTTGGCACCCAGATCACTCCAATGGGCAGTAGTGGTCTGGGTGCCTGGAGTGTCCCTTTAAGTGACATGGGATATTGCACCCAGGCCACTTCAATGAGCTGAAGTCGTCAGGGTGCCTATAGTGTCCCTTTAATGAACTGAGAATTCAAAGTGAATGCAAAGTGAATTTCAAATTTAAGGTCAAAGTAACCGAACTGGGAAAATTCAGCTATGTTTTCACTTTGAATTCAAGTTGAGTTCCCACTTTAGTAAATTACCCTGACTGTCTTCTTTATTCATGACAAGGCCATGTCTAAAGGCCAGTAATACATATTTCTGTCCTATATTATGAAAGGTGGGTTAATATATATTTTGACATAGATAAGGAAATTATAATGAAGAATCAAATGTGTTCTGTGAAAAGTGGTTTGGGCGCAGTGTCCCTGTTTCCTTAACCAGTGGCGAAACTACTGCTGGAACAGTCAGGACATCGGCCGACACTGGTGGGGGAGGAATGCGACACAGTGCTGAGGTATATTGGCTCAGATATCAGTTACATGTGAAATGTTTTTAACCCTTTAATTGCTATTGGGTAGGCATGGTGGGGGCAGGAGGCACTATAGTGATACGTTGTCCTAACACTGTAGTTGTCCTTAAAAAAAATAAAAAAATGCTTTTCATTTACAGTAACACCATAGTGTTAGGAATAGAAACTTGTGTTCCTAGCTCTTATAGTGTACCTGTCCCAATTTCTTTATAGGCCACCCAGTGTGCCATACAAATGAATCATATAAAGGAATTACATACTGTTTTTCAGCGTCAAGGTTCCCTCTGCGCCACTCACCTCAACTCCTACTAAAATGTCATGGAGGAGGCACGACCTCCTCTGCAATGGTCCAATCTAATGCTTCTCATAGAAAATGCCTGATGAGCACCATGCACACATCTAAGCCTCCCATAGGAAAGCATTGTATCTAATCAAGGCCGGCCCAAGACATTGTGCTGCCTGGGTCCAAGGATCAGGGCCGCCATCAGGGGGTTGTCACGGGCCCGGCGGCCCTGGGGGGTTAGTGCTGTGGCCGTGGTATAGCGTGACCAGGCCCCTTTAAAAAATAAAAAAAGCAGCCGCAAGTGCGTATGTATGTGTATGTCTGTATGTATGTCTGTCTGTATGTATGTCTGTATGTCTATGTCTGTATGTGTATATATGTATGTATGTCTGTATGCATGCATGTCTGTCTGTCTGTCTGTCTGTATGCATGTCTGTCTGTGTATGTATGTATGTCTGTCTGTGTATGTATGTATGTCTGTCTGTATGTATGTATGTGTGTGTATGTATGTCTGTATGCATGTCTGTCTGTATGTATGTATGTCTGTATGCATGTATGTCTATGTATGTATGTATGTATGTCTATGTATGTATGTCTGGATGCATGCATGTCTGTGTGTATGTCTGTATGCATGTATGTATGTCTGTGTGTATGTCTATGTATGTCTGTCTGTCTGTCTGTATGTTTGTCTGTCTGACTGTATGCATGCATGTCTATGTATGTATGTCTGTCTGTATGTGTATGTCTGTATGTATGTATGTCTGTATGCATGCATGTATGTCTATGGATGTCTGCATGCATGTATGTATGTCTGTCTGTATGTCTATGTATGTATATATGTATGTCTGTATGTCATTATATATGTATATATATGTTTGTCTGTATGTCAGTATGAATGTATGTCTGCATATCATTATGAACGTATGTCTGTGTGTGTGTGTATGGATGTCTGTATGCCATTATGAATGTATGTCTGGTCTGTATGCCATTATGAATGTATGTGCTCAGTGTGAACCTGCTTTCATCTGTGAAGAGCACAGGGCGCCAGTGGCGAATTTGCCAATCTTGGTGTTCTCTGGCAAATGCAGACTTGGAGTTACATTGTGTTGTTTAAGTGTTCCCTTTATTTTTTTGAGCAGTGTATAATATCCTTTATATGAAAAAGGGGTTTATTCTCTGCAGGAAGGAACTGCACTAATTTGTTTAGCAGATGACTTTTAAGGGTTTCAGGCAACTAAATGTCACTTTACAATCCTCATTGCAAAGAACTAAATGGGATTAGTTGTCCCTTTGAAAAAGGAGATGGAAAGTCCCCTTTTTGAAATGAGGGGTAGTCCAGGTAGTTATGAGGTGATCACAATAGCAGCTATGATCACCCAAAGACATACTATGCATTGGTAACAAAATCCTTACAGGAAGAGGGGGTTGTGAGTTTGGAGTAGCTCAATGTTGTCTCCAAAATAAATTGGCAAGCATGTAGCCCTTTATTTGGAAGCGAAATCCTCTTCTTTCAAATTAGCGGTCTTGTATCATTTTTGGTGCAAATATTGTATACTTAGAATTGTTCTTTTTACCTTATACTAAAGGAGTTTGGACTGAGGTTGAATGCTGTATTTTGAGTTAAATTATCCACCGTGAAATCAGTAAAATAAAAATAAAATACTACTAATAAAAATTTTAAATTCTCTTTTTCAGTTTCAAATTTTATCGTAGAACATAGCTATGGAATCCTAAATGTTACTTTTTGGGGGGCAAAGTGAGCTGATATTTGTGGACCCAGGACATACTTGAAAACGAGAGAAATCTCAATGTATCTTTCCTGGTAAAATATTTTATAAATAATAATAATTAATAATATCTGTTTTTAAAATATTTATAAAATAATGACATTCATGTTGTTGGTTACCAGATACACAATGGGAAAATGCACTGAAATATTGATTATTTTCATATAGAATGTCGACCCGAAACCACCGCCGAGGGACATCGGCGGGGTCCCAGGTAAGTGACCTGAAGGGGTTTTCACCCCTTCAGCTACCTGGGGTAGGAGGTGGGAAGAAGAGGGGGCCTGCAGTGCCAGGAAAGTTTCCCTTTAAGCAACATACACCCCAATAGTTGTCTCTCAGTACAATTTTTTGCTTAGCAAATAAATTACATGGTTATTTTAAAAACTTCAGCCAAAATAATGGAACAGGAGGCATTCTCTCAGTGAGGTATTATTTGTTTATAAAATATTTTACCAGAAAAGATACATTGAGATTTCTCTCGTTTTCAAGTATGTCCTGGGTCCACAAAACATTGCATCGATACAATAGGGCAAAATAAAATACAAAACCAATATTAATACACAATATATACAAAATTTAACATAGAACAGGTAGGAAATATATAATCAACCATGACAGGTGCATTCTGTTTTGAGGTATGTAGAGAGGGATCTCTTAAAGGACTTTAGGCTTCGGGAAGAATTGAAAGTGTGCGAGAGGTCGTTCCATAATTACATAGAAGGTATGATTGACTGTTTTAGCCTAAATCTTTAAATTCACTTTGCCTTCCTAACACTTCCCACGTTATTGAATAACGTCTCACCTGACGGTGCGCAGCCTAATCAAACTATAACAAAACACACACACAGTAAGCAACATAGTCTAGCTGTAAAGATTTCCTTATTTGAATCAGCTTCGTTTAGCTGTCAGTTGGAATACAGAGCGCAGCACTGTAACATTGTATCAGTATTCCTTTCACCAGAAATTCCCAGCCTTGCTGGGTGGCAACCTATCAGCATCTCCCCTCCCCAGTGACCCTCCCTCCCATTAGACAGACACCTCCCCTCTCCAGTAGCAGCGGCCTTTCCTAATTTGAGCTCAGTAATCCCAGTAGCTGCAAGCCCTGCTCTGCTGCATGATGTCTGCTTGTAAATTCTTCTCCACTGTCAGAGGCCTCACTTTGCAGGCAAAATGGACCCAGAGGATGTGTGCTGGTGCAGCCTGGATGGTACACAGTAAGGTATGCTGCAAGTGCTTCCTAGGCTTGTGTGCCCAGCTATGTACCAACTATGCCTATTACAGCTCCTTGGCAGGGGTTCACCACATTCCTGGCAATGGGCTCCTGGCTCCCTGCTAAGTACCTTGTTACTTGGGAAGACTTAGATTGCTGCACAGTCATGTGAAACTGCCTCAGTGTTTACCAGTTCTGTAATTAAAAGTAAACACAGTTTTAAGAATCATATTGGTTGTCTGGTTTCCATTAGAGCGTACTGACTGCTAGGTCTGTGTGTGACATATTGCTCAGAAACAGAGACTGCTGTCACTTTAGTATGACAGGTTCTAAAACAGTGCAGTTCCAGAATAAAAACCTGCCCTTCACACACCCTTTGTTTACCCTTCTGTGTCTATGGTTTGGCTTGTACTGTACAATGTAAACGTGACTGTGACCTTGAAAAGCCTGGTGTCTCAAAATCAAGTTGAGACAAAGCATTATGCCCCCCCAGCCTGTGTCCCTGTTCTGATTTAAACAGGATTATTTACGAAGTGAGAATTCTAAAGGATTTCCAATTTGAAGACTATGGTAGCTAAACTGAAAGCCCAGCTGGCTTACAGAATTGTTCCAGTTGAGATATTTTGGCTGTATATTTGAAATTCATTTTGTAAGTGGCAGAATGAGAGGTTGATATCTAATTGGTCTAATGCTTGTGATTAAACTGTCGCCCCTAGAACTCTAGAAATCAAAGACTGTGTGACTGTTTAACGATTGTACTGAAGCAATTCGTCCCCAATATGCCCTCTGTACCCATTTAGATAATAAGACTTGCAGTTTACCTCCTATTTTAGCTTAAGTTTGTTTGATATGCAGGTAATGGCAGAATTCAGGAATAAATAATCTGATCTGGAACAAAAAAAATCTATGTTCTAGTGAAGTCACAGCTTATTTATTTTAGTCTTATTTTTGCAATTTGAATTTGAATTAGCAACGATTTGGAGTTCAGTGAACAAACCCAGAGAGGTTAATTCATTAGTCCAGGGCTTAAGACATTTGTTTGGATTCTAGGAACCAGCTAAAAGAGTTAGGAGGCAAGTTTTTTTTTTTTTTTTTGAATGGCAAAATAAATCTCTTAAAGGGACACTATATCACTATAGTCCCCAGAATCACTACAGCATAATGTAGTGGTTCTGGTGCAAAGACCTGTCCATGCAACTTGCGATTGTAAACACTGCTTTTTCTAGAAGATGTCCAGTGTGCAGCACCTACGTTCAGTATCTCCACACTCTGCATGGAGTCGCTGAATGCTCCTTATAGAGATGCATTGATGCAATAAATCTCTGAGGAGATGATGATGATTGATACAGCGCTTATGCAATAACTTCCCAATACTTTCCTATTGGAAATGATTTGCTGAGATTTTCAATAATGATGATTTCAGCCATGGAGGTGGAGCCGGCCACTGTGAAACCGGCACAGTGTGGGGGGAAAAAGAAGAGTAAAAACCCTTTTCCAAGCGTTTTAGAAGGCAGCTGACTACCTATAAAGACAGACACACACAAATATATATTTTTAAATTTTAATTTAAGTCCACCCATCCTCCCTAACTTTGGGAGAGCTAGAGTGGATCCTTTTTAAGATGGTCCAGTGTGTCGGCTGAAATATTTAAGCTCTTCTTACTCTGCACTCTTGTGCGCCTTTTAGTGATGCTGGGACCATAGTAACGTCATCTCCCAGCACCCGGAATCACAGTGGGGTGCACGTGGAAGCAGAACAAGAGATGGAAGATTTCAGCTCCCCCACCGCCCGCCTCCACTCTCTCTCAACAGGCTGACAAAAAAGACAAACTTATTTTTTTTTTTTTTTTTTTGGCTCTTAGATTCAAAGCAAATTTACCACGCCCTGCTTTAATATTTAAAAAAAAAATATATATATATATTTTTAAAATTTATTTGGATATATATATATATAGTTAATACAATGTTAAAGAAAAATCTGCACACCAGTCAAGCCATAAGACTTGCTTTTTTCCCACAATGAAAATAACAATGAAACAGCTGTCCATGAGTGGTTCACTGGTTTTGCATCTTTTCTTAAGTTGTTTCAAAGCGGTTGTAGACAGCAAATACAGACTCAAAGGAATCCATGTTTAAAATGGAAAGAAGCAAAAATTTGATTTTGTTAAACTAATTTGCATATGCCCACCCAGAATCCTTTGCGGTAGTAACATCACTGCAACTTTGTGATTTCTGTGGGAAAAGCAAGTCTTATGGCTTGACTGGTGTGCAGATTTTTGTTTAACATTGTATTAACTGTCCACAGACTTTGGGTGGAAGGGGGTTTTCAATCACAATTTTTCCCCACCATAACCTTTTTGGTTTTTGTATGTGTGCAGGGGCGTATTAGCCGCGAGGCAAACAAGGCATTTGCCTTGGGCGGCATTTTTCAGGGGGCGGCAAAAAACGCCGCCCCCCAAATGCCCAGGGCAAATGTCTTGTTAGCCTCGCGGCTAAGAGACATTCTGGGCGCTGGGCGGGTGGGCGGCCGGCGAGGGAGCTCTTCCCCTGAGCGCTCTGCTCAGCTCCCTCGCGCGCCGCCAGCAGAGTGAGGCCGGGAGCCGGAAGATGACGTCATATTCCGGCTCCCAGCATCACTCTGCTGGCGGCGCGCGAGGGAGCTGAGCAGAGCGCTCAGGGGAAGAGCTCCCTCGCCGGCCGCCCGCCCGCCCAGCGCTGCAGCCACTGGACCCCAGGGAGAGGAAGAACCCCCCCCAGCATTACCAAAGGTAAGGAGGCTGGGGGGGGTTAAATAAAAAAAATAAAAACACTAGTGAGTGTGTGGAAGTCTGTTAGTGTGTATGTTAGTGTGTGTATGTATGTTAGTGTGTGTGGTGTATGTCTGTTAGTGTGTGTATGTTAGTGTGTCTGTTAGTGTGTGTATGTTAGTGTGTGTGTGTATGTTAGTGTTTGTGTCTGTTAGTGTGTATGTTAGTGTTTGTGTCTGTTAGTGTGTATGTTAGTGTTAGTGTCTGTTAGTGTTAGTGTGTATGTTAATGTTAGTGTATGTATGTTAGTGTGTGTGTGTCTGTTAGTGTGGATGTCTGTTAGTGTGGATGTCTGTTAGTGTGGATGTCTGTTAGTGTGTGTGTTTGCCTGTGAGTGTGTGTGTGTGTTTGCCTGTGAGTGTGTGTGTCTGTTAGTGAGTGTGTGTCTGTTAGTGACTGTGTGTTTCTGTTAGTGACTGTGTGTTTCTGTTAGCTAGTGAATGCGTATCTGTCAGTGAATGTGTGTGTGTGTATTTAGAAGGCGGAGCAGGGGGGAAGGTTGGGTGGCGGTTGCGCGGGTGGGGGTGGCGCGGGGGGGTGCCTGAGTTTTGTCCTGCCTAGGGCAGCACAAAACCAGGATACACCACTGTATGTGTGTGTATATCTATATTCATATCCATCCAGGTAGCATAGAGATGGCAATTCCAGGACTGCAAAGGTATTAAAAGTAAAACTTAACTTTTATTTTTCACAGTTAATAGATCGATGTTTCAATCGGATGTTTCAGCGGTTTTGTTTATTAGAAGTACAAGAACTATAAAAGCAATTTAAAAAGAATAAATAAAAAAACCCTCCTGGAATGCTGTTTTTTTTATTTCTTTCTATTAGAGCCTCTGAAAACACAGGGTTTTGCGATTATTTGTGTGCATGTTGGGAGTGCTCTACAGGCTTCTTGTAACTCAGTGACCATAGAACTGTTAATATAAGGTCACCTTTACAAGGGTAATTGTGTGTAATGGAGACTCATTGCTAGTCTTCCTACTTAACTCTTTACACTGACTCGCTGATTCTTTTGTCATAGGGCTCTGCTTGCAGTTTTTCCACCAGCAGTAATCACTACGCTAAATTCTACAGTGATCCAGTGCAAGCCGTAATAGACATACCAGCCGGATCAACGCTACTTGTTGGTGGTAAATATCATTGTCCCTTATTATCTGTCTGTAATAATGTCAAGTCATTTTACACTTTCATATCAATTGTCTGCAGTAGAATAGTTTTATTTTAACAGTTTTTTTTTTTTTTTAAAGGAATAAAGATGAATCCCTTTTAACCTGCTGTCTCATTTATTATGTGTATCGGTCATTCAAAAACCTCTTTGTGGTACTGTATGGAATTTACATTTCAGCTGTATGTAACATTCTGAGATATTTTGATGATGTCACTAATCTTCGAGGATTCTCCCCAAAAGCAAAGCAGGGCAATTCTAAATGCTCTCAGCCAATGAGTGAAGGCTTGCATTGGCCATGCTTTGTCTGTCTGTAGAGACATCTGGCTTCTCTTACTGGAGAAAACCAGATGCAGCACGGGCAGTTGCAGAAGAGTTGCCAAACTGTTGTAAAACAGATTAGTAAGTTACATTAGGATGGCACAGATCACTCAGCTCTCATGTGTCTAAAAATTTAGCACATACTCCAGCACAGCCTATACTGCAGTGACATATAGCATGATAAGAAATACTGTGTGCTGACACTAAATCGCAGATGCTACCTCGTGAGGCAAAGTGCTTCAATGTCCCCAGTTATATATTAGGAGGGCTCTGTCAATGAGAGGGCAAATAGCCCGAAATATCCTCAGTATTATTATAATTTATATTCCGCAGCGCTTTACAATAAATGAGACAATTACACAGTGACTCAGGAACAATAGGTAGATGAGGGCCCTGCTCAAACGAGCTTACATTGTAGGGGAGATGGGGTACAAATTCACAACAGGACAGCAAGGGTGGCAGCCACCAAACAAGGTGGAGTGTGGCTATTTAGGAGAGCAAGAGACTGACATAGATAAGTGTATATAAGTTACTCTGGGAGTCCATAAGCATATTGGGTTAGTACCAGCTACTGTACCAAGGATGACAACCTGCAATCCATTCTGATTCTGTAGTGTCTTGATATTTAACACTGGGCAGTGATGACCTCTCTATTCACTAAACAGATGCAATATGTTATGTTGTCTATTACTACTGTACTTCTAAGGCAAATTATGCTGCTGTGATCTAAGAATATGATAACCCCTGTGAGTTAATGAACTGAATAAATCTAGACTTCTGTAATTATAATTTTACGTTTGTTGCTATATGTGACATGCATCTTTTTTAATACTATCACGCTTAGTAAGATACAGAAATACATAATCAACTGACTCTTCCTCGTGGATGTCCCCTGTGTGTATTATGCATGATCAGCTAACAAAACAAACATGTTTCTAAATATTTGTATTTTTTTCCCCGTGTCATTTGACTTACAGGCAATAACAGGTAACTATAGCGTACATCTATCACATTGTTATTGATTTTGTACCAGGAAAATGTATTAATTAAATTTGTATGCATACTTGTAACAAATATTGCCATGTGATAGTGGGGGACAGAGTCTCTTTTTAAAGTGAAAGGTTATGAACCATTTACTTTATATAATGGGATATCATGGTGTTTATCTATTACTTGGCTCCTATCCAGCATCTCTTGCACTGCCATCGTACAAGCTTCACCCTCTGTCTCCTGTGTCCAGCTCCATCCAATATAATTAGTCCTGGGTGGTAACATTTCCCCCAAGCAGGCTGCCCCCCTCTCCTAAGAAGTTTCTGCACTGGTGTCAGAATGAAGTCCTGTCAAATTACATGCTTGCGAGAGGAATAATCACAGCAACTACATGTGCTTTGTAGGTATGCTGTTCGCATGTACAGGGGGTCATTATTGATGGTTATTGTGTATTTTGTCTTGTAGGATTTGGTTTGTGCGGCATTCCAGAAAACCTTATCGCTGGGCTTCTTAAAACTGGCATCAACGGAATCACAGCTGTCAGCAACAATGCTGGGTAAGTACAGGAGTAATGGACAGAGTGTATAAAAAACTTTTATTTATGTAGCCGTAACAGGTCATATTTTAGCAGAGAAACTGTGTAGAAAGTGGAGTAGATATAGTGTATACATTTGAGCTTGCACAAATAGCAGTTTAGTAGAAGGGAGGTACAAGAAGTGTAGTAACTGTTGTTTGTAATCCATAAGGCTTACAGAAGACCTTTTTGGCATTAGCCCCTTTTCAAGAGACTGCGGGCCCTCTAAAACTAAAACACAATTAGTCTGCATTTCAGACAAGTATAACTGTCCTTTGACTGTTTCAGCACAAGCAGTAGTTTAACTATACCATAATTTGATTAATAATTTACCAGTGTTCTGTACATCATATCCTAATGAGGTAGCTCTAGGCAGCCATAGTATGAGATAAATGAATAGATAAGTACGAAATTCACTGTAATCAAGAATTAAGAGAGCTTTGTTTAGATAATGAGCAGATTAGGGGTGTTGGGGTTTATTTCTCTTTCTTTTTCATTTTCAGTAAGGTCTATAAATATGCTTGCTTATGGTAGAATCCCTCCATGATACGTTTAACTTTCTGCCAATTGATTACACTTTACAGAGCTTGCACTATACTTTCCTCTTGCATTCCAAAAAAAATAAATGTATTTACTTATTTTAAAAAAAAAAATGCTCCAACAGCGATCTATTTGTAGACTTCCCCCATTTAACAACTACACCACACCAGGCTAAAAGCTTGAGTCACTTACTGGAAAATAACCATTGCAGTGTGCTGTAGTGGTTATGGTGTCAGGAAGTCCCTCATATGGCTGCCAGATTGACAGTCACTAGATTTGTTTCTAGGCATTATTATTATTATTATTATTATTATTATTACCACCTTTTATATAGCGCCAACAGATTCCGTAACGCTTTACAATATTATGAGAGGGGGATTTAACTATAAATAGGACAATTACAAGAACGATAGGTTGAAGAGGACCCTGCACAAACGAGCTTAAATTCTATAGGAGGTGGGGTGTAAAACACAATAGGACAGGAATTTGCAATCAAATTAAGGTGAGAGTGAGGCAGAGCTGGAGGAGAGAATAGAGTGCTGCCCTTTAGGAGAGAGCAAGAGACAGGTATGTAAGGTAGAGGTTACTCTGGGAGGCCATAAGCTTTCCTAAATGCCTTTTCTCTGAAAAGGCAGCATACACAGTGATAAATGGCAGGGACAGACTATAGACACCACAACCACTACATTAAGCTGTAGTGTTTTTGGTGACTATAGTGTTTCTCTAATTGAGATGAAGTTGTTATAGGGGCTGGGATAAGTGGGGACTGTGCTTTTAGTTTGCTGATCTAGACTGCACTGTCTACATACTGTTCTAACCTCCCCTCCCTATTTGTATAACCTTTTCTAACAAAAAATGGAAAATTAGAGGTGTCTAATGATGCACTTGTGCTGCCGAGGACAGTTGGGAAGATCAGGGACCAAAATCGAGACTGGAAACGAGGACCCCGAAAATGAGACTCTTGGGAAGTCTGCTATATTATTGATGGAAAATTAAGACATAGAATGTAACTTACTTTTTTATGATATAAGCAAAACCTAATCATGCAATGTCATTTTGTACAGACACTGGCAGTTTCCCAGAAACTTGCACTCTTTGTAAACCTGGACTGTCTCTTCCTCACCGCCTATACCTGGGAGGGTTTAGCAGTATAAAGTCACACAGCAGTGGAGATCTTTCAATATTTTATTATGGATTCATGCTGTTTCTGAGCTCATGAAAAGCTTTCTATTTTTTTCATCTTTCTTTAACAAAATAGCTTTTTCCAGTACTTGATTTTTCTACTTTATTTTTTTTATTCTCTGTTTGAATAAGCTTTTTGGTAGATTCAGTTAGCTAATATGCATGATAAGAGAGAAGATAAGTGATTGGAAGAGAGGTAATATAATCTGTGCAATATATAGCCACTGTTCTATCCTTGGAACATGTGCATGCATGTAAAACAGCTGCTCATAGTAACCTAGTCAGTTTACTTTTGCCTAATTGCAAAAATAAAGTGTTTTATAATTGTCCCTGCGTGGGGTAAAAAACCCAAGATGCACCCGTTTTCCTCTCCAATCCATCTACAAGGATATGACTTAGTCAATGGGTGCAAATAAAGTTTTTAAATATGTACAGTACATATTCACACACATAATTACAAACAGGTACAGCGTTTTGGCCAGGCTTAATTTTTTATCAATATACGACATGCCAGTTCCCCATATAGGTCATTATGATGTTTTGGCTGTAAGTTGCAGTGTGCACCTCAGGTTTTTTTGTTGCATGAAAAGAGACACGTTGTTAGTAGAAGCACGATCGGCATCAAAATTATTAGGGACCTTTACATAACCACTGGGAAGGCACACACATATATATATAATTACACTTCATGTATGTGGCATTGTGCACATATTGCTGTGCTCACATTTGCACTTAAGAACATGATCGTTGTGATTGCATTTTGCACTTTTATGCACATCATTATGTGCACAGGTTTGCACTTTTTTTTATATGCATTATGTATTTTGCACATTATTTGTGTTCACATTTTTGTATTTCATCCTTCAGGTAGATAAAATGAGTACCATTTTAAATTGGGTAATAACAACCCCTGGATGTTGGGCTATGGTAACATCCCCAGGACGTACTTGAAAACCAGAATAATCTGAATGTAATCTGGTTAAATACTTTATTATTTGCACATATTGTGCTTAAATTTTGCCCTTGCCATATGGGCACTTTCTTTGCACTTTATGTATATGTGTCATGTTCTTATGATTTGCACTTATGCATGTGTCTTTGGATTCACATTAAAATGATCCTATAGTGCCAGGAAACAGCTATTTCCTGGCACTATAGGTTTAAAAGGTGCCCCCCTCCTGGGGGGGCTGAATGAATTACCTGAATCCAGTGCCGATGTCCCTCGTAGCAGGGTCAGGTTCCGTACTTGCTCCTCCATGCTGACTTAAACCGGCGGGGGAGACTTAATGCGCATGTGCGGCAATGGCCGTTCTCGCATTAGCATTTCCCCATAGGAAAGCATTATTCAATGCTTTCCGATGGGGAAAATCTGATACTGGAGATCCTTGTGTAGAGCGTGAGGACGTCCAGTGTCAGATAACGGACCAAAGGTCCATTTCGATTCCGGAAGCGCCCTCTGGAACTGCATTGTTTAAAGGACCACTATAGTGCCAGGAAAACATACTCGTTTTCCTGGCACTATAGTGCCCTGAGGGTGCCCCCACCCTCAGGGACCCCCTCCCGCCCGGCTCTGGAAAGGGGAAAGGGTTAAAAACTTACCTTTTTCCAGCGCTGGGCAGCTAGCTCTCCTCCTCCGATCCACCCCGTCGGCTGAATGCGCACGCGCGGCAAGAGCTGCGCGCGCATTCAGCCCGTCGCATAGGAAAGCATTTACAATGCTTTCCTATGGACGCTGGAGTGCTCTCACTGTGAAAATCACAGTGAGAAGCACGCAAGCGCCTCTAGTGGCTATCCAATGAGACAGCCACTAGAGGATTAGGGGGAAGGCTTAACCCATTCATAAACATAGCAGTTTCTCTGAAACTGCTATGTTTATAAAAAAATGGGTTAACCCTAGAAGGACCTGGCACCCAGACCACTTCATTAAGCTGAAGTGGTCTGGGTGCCTAGAGTGGTCCTTTAACATTGCAGCACTAAGTGCAATAGGGTCACATCACCCAGACCACTTCAATGATATGAAGTGGTCTGGGTGTCTACAGTGTCCCTTTAATTACTTTTATGTCCCATAATTAAGATATATTAGGATTGGGTATTTATTTGCACTAGTATATTAACTGTATGGTAGTTGGTGCACTTATTGCACAGGTACAGTGGTTTTACGGAATAGAATTTATTTAGTATGTGGTTATGGGTTGTGTGTTGACTTTTTTTTATTTTTATATATATATATATATATATATTAGGCACTATTGTATAATGTCTGTATTTTTAGGCTGGAAACTGGTAGTAATGAAGGATTGTATTCTTGTGTATTAGGGAATTGTGGTATTAAGTACAGATTGGAAAGCTTACCTGTGGAAGTACATTTTTAAATAGTAAATAGTGTGTATATATATATATGTGTGTGTGTGTGTGTGTGTGTGTGTATATTATATATTTTTTTTATAAATTACAGCTGCATTTTCTCTTGAGGTCAACTGTGTTTCATTGCCTTTTGTATGCACATGGTATGGTTATAAAGTTGATTAAAAAAAAAAAAAATTTATAAAAATATATATATATATATATATATATATATATATATATATATATATATATATATATATATATATCTATATATCTATATATCCAGCGCACTCGCTTATTCACTAAACAATGATTTCAGATCTTAGAGATTGTAATAGTTTTATTTAAAAACACCTCACCTAGGCAAAAAAACGATGCCTAGATGAAGTGTTTTTAAATAAAACTCTTATAAGATTTGAAATCCTTGTTTAGTGAATAAGCGAGTGCACTGGATTCTGTATGTTGTATATTTTGGCCCCAGTAGCACCCTATAATGTATGCATGTTCAGGTGAGTGCAGCCCTCTGGGTTTCTTTTATATATTTGGGAGTCCCAGGCCAACTCCTTAGTTATGCACCCCTCCTTGTCACAGGTGCCTCATTCCAGGGCCCTATTTAGCCTTGACTTGCAGAGAGTCCCAGTAAGGAAGTATTTCCCAAGTAAGTGGATTAATCTCATAAGAGCAAGCATTAGGCTGCTACTAGGATAGGACCTGCCGAACATGGGGTACTTTGACGTAGTTGGCAGGCTTATGCAATGTATGATCATATAATGTAACTAAACCCCCATCATTTTTTGCCTAGGTGAGGTGTTTTTAAATAAAACTATTACAATCTCTAAGATTTGAAATCATTGTTTAGTGAATAAGCGAGTGCGCTGGATTCTGTATTTTGTATATTTTGGCCCCAGCAGCACCCAATAATGTATGCATGTTCAGGTTAGTGCAGCCCTTTTGGATATGGATATATATATTTCTCATAATTACACACTTCCAGATGCGCACTGCTAGACACACAAGCATATACTTGTACACCTTTCCGCACATACACAGGTACACTGTGCAACGCACTTAGCAACACACACTCACACAAATATATTTACATTTAGCTGGTCGCGTCCACCTTCATTATTCTTAACTTTTTCCAGCAGAGTGTGACTTCCCTGGGGTTCAGCGGGCGGAGCTGTGCTACAAGTTGTGGGCGGCCCTTCTTCCAGTTTCCACTATGTGCAAGGAGGAAGGGATATACTATTACTTACTCCTAGTACTTCTGTATAGGAAGAGAATGGTACACTCCACATGATTCTGTAACAGGCCTAGCCCAGTTAGGGAAGACATTTTATGTGTTACCAACTGGACACCGTAATGGAATATCGGCTGTACCCCCATTATGGTGGCCGTGGGTACATGAAACAAAGATTTAGTAAGTGGGAAAATAAGCATCAACAAGAGGCCTGGACACATCTAATTTAATCCAGGCTATAGTTTATTATTATTATTATTATTGCCATTTACAGAGCCCCAACAGATTCCGTAGCGCTTTACAATATTATGAGAGGGGATGTAATTATAAATAGGACAATAACAAGAAAACTTACAGGAACAATAGGTTGAAGAGGACCCTGCTCAAACGAGCCTACAGTCTATAGGAGGTGGGGTATAAAACACATTAGGACAGGAAATATCAATCAAATAAGGTGGGAGTGAAGCAGAGCTGGAGGAGAGAGTAAAGAACTGCCCTATAGGAGAGAGTAAGAGACAGGTATGTAAGGTAGAGGTTACTCTGGGAGGCCATAAGCTTTCCTGAAGAGATGGGTTTTAAGGCCCTTCTTAAATGATTGAAGATCATTCTCGCTGGAGAAAGAGGTAAGTTTAACCCTTTCCTCCACCTAGAGCCTGGCGGGAGGGGGACCCTGAGGGTGGGGGCACCCTCAGGGCACTATAGTGCCAGGAAAACAAGTGTTTTCCTGGCACTATAGTGGTACTTTAAAGTTGCATATCACCACTGGTTGATGTTGTATTCTAAAGTGGGGTATGGTGAGTTCCTCGGTTTATACAGTTTCTTAGAGTGAGGGACGAATTTTAAGATTTTTGTGTCTACCTAGACTTTAATCACCCATTGCTTCAAAATCCCACTTAAAAAGAACCCTGTTTACTGGCCAGGCTTTGTTTTTTTCCATGTAGGCATTAGTGTGCCACAAATGTGTCAACTTGTTTTTGAAGCCGTTGTCAGACATTGTGTCATCAGCTGAAATATATTCTGGAAAGTTATTGTGTTTCATTATAACCATTGTTGGGTTTGTGAAATCCTCTTATTCAGAATACCTTAATTTAATAGTCCTTATAAAAAAAAAAAATCAGCCCATCCTTTTACATATGAAGTAAATAAGTAATTGGCCTTACGCTATTCATGATTGCTTGGTGTGTGCCTGTGTGTGTATATATGTTTTTATTCTATAATATGTGACTGAAAAGGGGACGAGGGGATGATGGAAAATGACCTTTCTGGCACCTCAGCGAATAAAGCTTAATCCAACCATGTATTGGATTTAGCATTTTTGTAGCAGTAACGGAGACATTTGATAATACAGACTGTGACTGCTGTGCCAAGTATTTTCATGTCAATGGTTACTCTGTACATGGGATTTGCCTTTGTTCCAGTTTATGGGTTTAATCTTTGATATTGGCATCTTGTATGGAATTGCACAAGGCTTCTAATAAAATGGCATATTGTTAAAAAATAAATAAATAAAAAACTGCTTATATTGCTCCCTAGAATGAAATAAAACTGGTGCCCCTGCTTCATAGTTTAATTGGCATTTTATCAAACATTCAGATTCCACATTGCATTATGCAACTGTTTTTACATCCTGAACATAGTCTTAAATGGAAACCAGGAGACTCATAACCTAAATACAAAGTTATAAAAATATTTTAAAAACATTACAAACAAACCAAAAAACAACCTTTAAACTAAACTATTCCTTAAAACCGCATTACAACTTTTTTTTTTTTACATTTTTGCTCTGTGTAAGAAATAGTAAGAACTACTTTTTGCCATGGGGAGTTTGTGGTTTTTTTTTTGTCCGTTCCCTTTTAGTTGCTAAGCTACTCAATCAGTTAAAAGGATCCCACAAACGGGCAAACTGCAGACATTTTGAACAGAGGAGAACAAAATGGAGGCACACAGGCATTGAGATCTGGTACAAGCCTGTGCCCAAATGCTGCCTGGCTTTCTCCTTAATGCTGATGTCTTGTTCTTTACATATTTAAAATAGTTGTAATGTTAATCAACAAGAAAATGGTCATATGTTTTTTTTATTTTTTATTATTATTTTTTTTTTATTTTTTTTTGTGTGCAATGCAGCAGTGCCATTTGCTGAACACTGCCTAGAAAGGAGGAGGGACAAAACGTGATGTATTGAGCTGTGATATCACACAGTTCTGTTCAGGAACCACCAAGAATGAAGAGTATTTTAGTATGGGGAGTACAACAGAGAAGGTAGGGGTATTTTAGGCTAAAGAGCTGTATTATGCCCAATAGTTGTTTTAATGGAGATATGGCAACGTGACCTTCTTGGCATGTTCACATTTAAGGATCACTAAAGTCGCCATAATCACTTCATCTTAATGAAGTGGTCTGGGAGCAGTGGCTTTGTCATTTTACCCTGCAATATAAAATATTGCAGTTTTGTAGAAACTACAATATATACATTGCAGTGTTAAATATGTCTAAAGTGGCTGTCATACTTCCTCATCCAGAAACAAGTGAAACTCTGTCCCGAAATCAAATGCTGTTGATGGCAGCATTTGATTGGAGGAGTGCGGTGTTTGGCTGCTCATGCCCATTTCCAATCCATCCAATGGATTGGATTAGATTGCGGGTGATGTCAACCTGGATGCGGACATCACCATTGGAGGAGCTGGATACTGCAGTGGAGTCCCGGCACTGGAAATAAACTAATTTTGTCTCATTTAACTTAATTTTACTAATCAAAGGGGTGGACACTAGTCACTTCACTATAAGGTAACCTCTAGTCCTGAAATAATGATATTTTCATAAATGTAGGTACCCTTTAAGAGAACACTCTAAACACTGTTCCTTTCTATTTATTGCTCCAGGAGCAGCCTCTTTTCACTCAATGGAGGAATGTACACTCCGTCTTGGCCTTACAAAATTTCACATGGCATGCACACAGTGCAAGTTAGTGGCCTTGGCAAACACTGTGCACAACCCCGATCACAAAACTGTGCAAGGGATGTCTCTGAAATGCTGCTGTGGTCTGACCTAAATACTTTGTAAACCGCTGCCAGATTTTAATAAACCACATATTCTTGGAAAAACCAAAATAAGATGTTTAATGTTTTGCACTTTGCAGCGTTGATAACTTTGGCTTGGGTCTCCTGCTTAAGACAAATCAAATAAAGCGAATGGTCTCTTCGTACGTGGGAGAGAATGCTGAATTTGAAAGGCAGTATCTTCAAGGAGAGCTAGAGGTGGAGCTGGTACCGCAGGTAATGAACTGTGCTGGCAGACAACGTTAAGTATTTTTTGGACGTTTCTCATTTAATCATTACTGCACATAAATAAAAAGTGACTTGACTTGGTACAAAATTCAGAAAGATCTCTATAACATTCCCTAAGCTCCTGTTGAGAACTTCAGTTTTGAACACAAAAATAAATTGGCTAAGTTGTTTTCTTTATGCTATTAAAGCAACACTCAAAGCACCATAAACACTACAGCATACTGCCCTTGCATCCCCCATATAGATCATCAAACGGTTCTGCTATCTAACTGACAACTTCTCTAGGGACTGCCGGTCACCTCCTCTGAGAGCTGGAAACTCTCTCTAAGCCAAGCCTGGTGGCTCTCTGAGCTGGCCCTACATGCCAAGGTTTAGCTTAGAAGAGCTATGGAGCTTCTGGCTCTTGGTGGAAGAAGTGACATCACCTGACATAACTGTTGACAAATTGTTTGAGTACTTAAATTGTGGGGGCAATGGATAGGTGCCAGGATGTTCATGGTGCCATAACAGTGTACTGTTGTGGTTATGGTGCTTGAAGTGTTTCTTTTAAACACTCTGCATTTTTCTTGGTTACCATTTTTTGCGATTATGGTACCAAGTCTTGAGCAATTTGGTAGTCATTTTTTTTGAGTAGTGATAGGCAATCTTTTATTACAACTTTGACGTTGGGTACCAGCTGTTTGTTCTGTGAATGCATGTGTGTGGGCTGTCTGGGATTTTGTGTGTGGTGTGTAGGTAGGTTGCTTACAGTATTTGTGTGTGTGTGTGGCATGAGGGGCTATCTGTGATGTTGTATATGATGGCTACTTGTGGTCACACACATAACGACATCTGTATATAGTGTTATGAATGTTGTGGAAATGACCTGACCAGAAGTGCCAGATCGCAAACCCACTGGACACCATAGGCAGTCGAGACACTTGGGCACTTTGGGCCAGCTGGAGGGATGTTTTAATCTTTCCATTTGGATCTGCAGACTCGTGTGCCATAGGTTGCTGACCCTGTTCTACAGTATAATTGTTAGCCCATGGTGCTTCTTACAAACTGAAGTTCTACACAAACACATTTGTTTAATATAGAGGTGATGTAAACCTATGAAAACTCTTGGAAAGTTACCTTTCTCTATTAAAGTCCAATTGCTGGAACGTCAGAGGATCCCCTAGGTACAATGTAACATTTTATTGAATTAGATTTGCTGCCTTGTCTAAGTGCAATAACCAGTTCTTATAAAGTGTTCTGCTTTTATTTTTATATTTTTTATTTTTTTCACCAGGGAACGCTTGCAGAGAGAATTCGAGCAGGTGGAGCTGGGATTCCAGCATTTTTTACACCCACAGGTTACGGCACTTTAATCCAAGAAGGGGGAGCACCAATAAAATATAATAAGGATGGCACCATTGCAATAGCGAGCCAAGCTAAAGAAGTAAGTCCTATTTATTTTGTCCCTTTCTTATTCATTTTTACTGCTCCCAAGGCACTAATAAAATAAACACTTCTAAAATATATTTGCTGCTGGCAGAGAAAGCAAGGGCTCATAAATGTAGTAATTGTTAAATAAAATATAAATATTTGCTGCCCTCCAGTGGCAGCCTTAGCTCAAGCTTGGAGCGCTGGATTGTTTGCTTATTAGTAGTTTTTATATATTTGTTCTATCACTTGAAATCGAATTTTTTACGAATAGCTATAAATGTGTCCAGAAATTTAAGGACCAGTTTTGGTCTGTAACTCTGTGTCATCATAACATGTTTTGTAAAGTGACACTGCGATCATCCTCTGCATTAGAGCTCATAGTATAGGTAGGTTATGGTGTAAAGGGTCTGTTGGCTTTGCACACCCAGTTATGGTCACAGACCTATTTTGAAGTTGTTTAACAAAACCTGGATTTTTTTTTGATTTTTTTTTTTTTTGGGTTTCTGATTCTCTGGTACTGCAATCCATGTGCAATATTTACTATGGTTGGAGGAAAGCGACGGATTGTTCTACCCAAACTGCGCAGATTATATAAGTTTGACAGAAGGAGGCTGCACGAGTTGTCCCAGCTATCTGTCTGCTTCCTTTGACCATTTTCACAAGTGTATAATCTTGACCCAAAACTTACCATGATCTCTACATGACACGTACTCATCAGTCATAACCTGGTGGCTTTGACCTCCCATAACACAGTCACCTGTGAAATTCCAGTGGGCCAGTCCAGACCTGGAGAGCATTAGAAAATTGGGTCATCAGCTGGATCACACTCATGGTGCTGTGTTTGAAAGCCCTGCATGGACAAGATGGCAGTGAAATTTATTTTTTATTAATTTACTAACCCCTCATAAATGGCCTAATACATTCTAATTGTATTGCTTTGCTTATGTATACATTGTGTGTTGTGGTTTTATTGTATTTTTTTTATTCCATGCCCTTTACTTAAAACACATGAGTGTGCTCAGGGAGTAATTTGTGTGTACTGTGTTAGTAATTTATTAAAATACTAATGCACATGTAGCTTTTTCTTGTGGTCTCTTAATATATAAAAGCATTATGAATTGTAGGATTCGTAAAGTGGCAGTGAATGTTTAATTACTTAGACTAGGGATAGCACATTTAGAGATGTGTTCTACACTAGTGTTGGGATTTGTAACAGGTACCCCCACACACATACCAAGAGGCACATTAATATTTTTTTGTGGTTACCCAATGAAAAAACCTATATATGTCATAGAATTTGGAAATAAAACATTCAGACTGACACGTGTTCCATGTGATACATCACTTTTTGAATGACAAATGTTTACAGTGTTATTCACTAAACCATGAATTTTAAGGAATTCACAAAAGAATTGCAAAGTATAGGCAATTTTGAAACATTTACCAACTGTGATTTTTTTTTTTTTTTTTTTAAATGCTCTGGTCAATTCTTTACCATTCCCTATTTTTATATTCTAACTTTAAAAGCAAAGCACATTAAAGGAGGTTAGATCTTTCACTAGGTGGTGGTATTGGACCAGTAAAATTCTGTTTAACCATGATGTGTGTTTTAATTAAGCACTCTGTCTGACGGAGTATAGCAGACTGATAGAACACCCCCCCATCCCTGAAACAGATGTTTTGTTGTAATGTATCACTGTTTACATCTTAATGCTGACAATCTTTATATACAATGGGGTATAAGCTGTGACCTGCAGTGTTTGTCCTCTTATTTGTTGCAGATACTGGGTACATGGCAGTCTTGAATAGCATTACTTGTTTTATTATTATTTTTTTTTATTTTAAATTCTTCCTATATGTCATACAGACTTCTCTGATTTCAAACACTGTTAAACTTTAACTTTATTATACAAAAGACTGACCCTGACACAAGTAAAACTTTTTGTTTGATTTATCTAGTAGTTCTGTTTTAAACATTTCTATTCCTCGTCAAAGGGTTACTCCAACCCCTTGACCATTTCAATACAGAGTTTAACACCATTGCAGACAAAGGAAATTGAGACTGCGTGTTTATTCTATGCACAGAATGTCAATCATTGTCTAAGAGCAGTCAGCTGACACTCTCAGACAATGAATAAACGGTGGGATTGGCATCGGGCGTCTGCAGCTCTGGGACCCTTTGCACCAAGGGATCTGGTAAGAGGGCAAGTCCTAGTAAAATGTTTGCCCATTAGCGGGGGATGGTACCAGATTATTCCTACTATGAAAGCCACTATTGCAGGTAGTGATGGGTGGATTATCGCTTTAATGCTAGTTATAAAGCAAATATTTAGCAACATTACGTGTCATGTGTTTATTGAATGCATTGATGCAACTTTTCCTTGTATGTGAACTTATGGCACGCCGAGCCCTCTGTGGGCATGCAGCCATAGGTCGCTGGATCGCTTATGGGGTTGCGCAGCAGACATCGGTCAGCAGCCTTAGGCTCCCCCAGGCGGCAATGCAGAGTAGGCGTGCACCTGCCTGCCCAAAACGGCAGGCGCCTACTACGCTTTTGTATCTGTGGGTGAGTCGGATGGAGGACTGTGAGAGAGCACTAACTTACCTGCTGTTCCAGCACAGCTCCCTCCGCTGATGCCGCCGGGAGACTGGAAATGACGTCAATCAGGCACGGCTGCCTGATTTACGTCATTTCCGGTCTCCTGGCAGTATAAGCAGAGGTCGCAGATGGAGCAGTACTGTAACAGCAGGTAAGTTAGTGCTCCCACACCCCCTCACAGCAGTGGGAAGGAATCTGATCCACCAGGTAGGGAGCCTCGGGGGACTTCAAACCCCCCACCCGCACCAAATTTTTTTTTAACATTATCTGTGCTGGGAGGGAATGGGGGATATGCTTGGGGGAGAGAAGGATAATTAGTTTGGGCAACTGTAGGAGTTGTTTTTTCTAAACTTAAACCTCAGTATTTAGGTTTAATTGCCCTGTTGGCACTTTGAAGAAAAAAAGTTGTCGTGTATTGCGGTTTGGGCACTCTGACTCAAAAAGGTTCGCCATCACTGCTCTAGGGTAATCTGCCCCTGTCACCTGAAATTTTCTTTACATGAATCTGTTTAATAAAATTAAATAATAAAAATCCTACTAGCATATATTTATACTATAACCTAGATATTGTACCAATTAAGACCTGGCAGTTACTATGTGTGGAGGTGGCTGTCAAGGACACTCATTGCAGTGACTGTTCCTACTGTAAAAAAAAAAAAAAAAAAAAAATAGCTTCCAGGCCTGTTCTGTGAGCAACCAATTAAAACCGACATTCAAACCGATGAGCTGTGTTACTCGCGGTCTGTCATTAGTATGAGGTTATCAATTAATCCATCGTTAATATAAAAATTGCAAGCCAACTACTGAACAGTTTTAAAATATATCAGCACACGATCCATGTGGTTTCTGTTTTTGTTTTAACTACTTAATAGAAAAGTATCTGGTGACAGTCACATTAAGGGTTGTAGATTTTGTTTATTTTCCATTCCCCCCCCTCTTTCCTACCAAAACAGGTATTGAGATTTGTGAGATGCTGTTTTCTTATGACTATGTATGAGTTTGTATGGTAATTTTTGTAGAGACTTCATACACCATTTTCATGTTCTACCCTCCATCTAGGTCAAGGAATTTAATGGGAGACATTTTGTTATGGAGACCTCCATTACTGGAGACTTTGCATTGGTAAAAGCTTGGAAAGCTGATCGTGCGGGAAATGTTGTGTTCAGGTGAGAATTTAGCCTCCAGTCATCAACGAACTTCTTGGAGATAAACTGTGATGGGAAGTGTGTAACACAGAGAAAGATGAGATTATTCGTATATTTTATGACTTTTTTTTTTATTTTTATTTTATTTATTTTTTTATGATTTATGCCACCTACATATTCTGCGGCTCTTTAAAATTATAGGACATATTAGAGGTGAAAAAGGCCCTGCTCAAAAGAGCTTACAATTTATGAATACCCAAGACAATAAAAAAACCTACCTCTAACAGTCCCATGTTTGCAGACACCATGCAGGTTTTCATTTATTAAGAATTCTGAATGGTGCTACTAGTGCTTATTGAAACGGCTTGTTTGTTTATGTGTATGTAGATGTCGTGCAGCTTGAATTGCTCTGATCACATCCATAGTTGTGCATGTTTGAAGTATGTGTTTAGACTAGAGCAAGATCATATTTGTACAAAAGGAAGTATCCAAAAAAACTTTTTTTTTAATGCAAATTAGTAGGTACTTAACCCCTTAAGGACCAAACTTCTGGAATAAAAGGGAATCATGACATGTCACACATGTCATGTGTCCTTAAGGGGTTAAAGGTACGCAACACTTGATTATTGTCACTGTGTCCCTGCCTTCCTTCACATTCACCCAGAAAATGCTCGCAATAATGAATCAATGTAGTATCAATGACAAGGCAAGACTATAATAAAGGCATATTAGTACATAATATACTATTAAAGAATGGGCCACTGAGCTAACTTCGCAGTTGAAGAATGACTCCTCAAGATAATTCAAAGTGCGTACTTGGAGTCCCTGCAACAACTTGAAAACTACTGCTCTGTACCTTTCTCTCTCCTTCCACATCTGCTCTTATTGCTGATAGATGTATTTCTTTGCATATTACCTTAAATTAAACCATTTCTGCTGATATTTAATTTACACCCTCTGGCCACAGGGTAAATATAGCATTTATACAATGTATGTATATTTCTATTACTTGTCATTCATGATGAGATTCCCCCCCACCTCCCCCTTTTTTTTCCCTCAATTGTCTGTGAAAGTTCAGTTGCCTCATAGATGGTTTTGGTCACCAGGGCAACGCTGACTGGCGTAGCCTTGTGACAGATGCCTGCAGCATATCTGGCTTCTGCCTGGCACTGCGCATTCTATACATATTGATTTTCTTAATTTCTGTGTTTGAGGATCTGACTTGGTTGTCTGCTAGGAAACAAAACAATGTATTAATGCATTTAAAAGACTGGCAAAAAAAACCTTTTAAAATACAATAGATTTACAAGACGATTCTTAAAAGAATGAGATTAATCTCGTAGAGCTCTTTTTAACCCTATAAGGGGGCATTCTATACATTATAACGCTCTCCGCCCCCCAGCTATATTGCAAATGCAGAAGTTGTACTTCCAACTAAGCAAAATCAGCTGAGTGTGTCAGCTGACAAATCAGCCCAAAAATATATTACAAATAATATATTTTATTTTCCTTTTTCACAAAAGTAAAGTTGAAACTGGTTAGTAAAATAAAACACTGCAATATAGTGCTAATGACACAGCAAAACTAGTCTGCCAGCTTGGATTCATATGATTCCATTTAGGCTTCTAGACTTTGAACCTTGCCTGCCATTCAGGGCCGGCGCTTCCGTTAGGCCATGGGTCAATGTGGGTGTTTGTCTGTCTGCATGGGGTCCGTGTCTGTGTCACTGTTTGTGTTAGTTTGCGTGTGTCAGTGAATTTATCTGTGCAAGGGTCACTGATTATGAGTGTGTATGTATGTGTCAGTGATTGCATTTGTGCACAAAGCACAGTATTAATTAAAAAAATACTTTTTAAAGGTTTATTAGAGAAGTGTCTTAGTAGAGAAGTAAAACAAGAGATTAAAAATAAGAAAAGGGCATTTAAATCATTTTAATTGGACAAATCAGAGGCATCCTATATAAGATAAAGGGAAGCCAATAATGTTTGCAAAAAGGCAATTAAAGTGGCTAAACTAGAAAATGAGAAATGATAGCCAAAGAATCCAAAACCAACCCCCAGAAACTTTAACTATTTTTCTTCCGTATATATTATTGAGGATCCTATGGCAAGAGATATGCAAATGATTGCTGCAGTATACTTGCAGATAGCTGGTGCTTGGATGACTCGAGACAAGGTGCTACAGCAGTTAAAGTTATTCACCCACGATTACTTAAGGAGCTAAGTGGGGAAATAAGTGAACCTCGGAATTCAATTTTTCAAGATTCTTTTGTTTCAGGTATTGTACTGGAGGATTGGAGGAAGGCAGATGTCGTTCCTATATTTAAAAAGGGTTTAAAATCCTTGCCTGGAAATTATAGACCTATAAACTTAACTTCTGTGACTGAGAAAATATTTGAAGGGCTATTAAGGGACAATATTCAGGAATTCAATGGTGAAGAACATGGTTACTGGCGATAATCAGTCATGTCAAACTAACCTAATTGCATTCTACCAAGAAGTAAGTAGAAGTATAGATCAGGGTGTTGCTGTGGATGTGATCTACTTGGATTTTGGCAAGGCATTTGATACGGTTCCTCACAATAGGTTAGTGTTCAAACTAAGAGGAATTGGTTTAGATGAATATTCTTGTTCTTGGGTAGAACATTGGCTTAAGGATGGAGTACAATGAGTTGTCATTAATGGTCAATTTTCATGCTGGACAAAAGTGATAAGTGGTGTCCCTCAGGGTTCTGTTTTGGGACGGCTTCTATTTAACATATTTAAAAATGATGTTGAAATAGGCATTGCAAGCCATGTTTTAGTGTTTGCAGATGAAACAACTTTGTAGAATAATAAAATGTGAGCAGGATATTGCTTTGCTGCAGAGGGATTTAGATAGGTTGGGGGACTGGGCACTAAAATGGCAGATGAAATTTAATGTAGAGAAATGCAAAGTTATGAATTTCGGGCTCAAGAATGCACAAACAACTTGCACCCTAAATGGTAGTGAATTAGGGTAACCACACTCGAGAAGGATTTGGGAATTGCTATAGACAACAAATTAGGCCGCAATATGCTATGTCAACCTGCAGTTGCTAAGGCCAATAAGGTTTTGTCATGTATAAATAGGGGCATAAATTCTAGGGATGAAAATATAATTTTGCTTCTTTAAAAATCGCTTGTCAGACCACACATTGAATATGCTGTGCAATTTTGGGCACCTGTTCTAAAGAAGGATGTACTAGTTTTTAACACAAATTGTTATTGAGGTTACAAGGTGGTCATTAGTTGTCAGCATGCTCGGTGAATGGATCAGTGATGCTTATGAACAGTTGCCTTATGCATTTCTGTAAGTTATGAGAGAGCCAGAGAACTCTGCATAACCCTGTTATCTGCAAAATTCACATTGATTGATTGTTATTCAGTAAGGTGAGAATTGCTGAGAATTGAAAGTAAATTCAAAGTCAAAATAGCCAAGCTGGATAATTCTCGGTCAGATATTCTTCTTATTTTGCTATTTAGGCCTTTTCAAATTTGACATTAACTTTTAAATGAGTGGACATTTAAGCCACTGCCTGCTCTAAGTGATGCCTATAGACAGCTGCATATGGGCCATTGAAAGCTGCAGAGTAGGAAGTTTCCCCAGACATTTACAAGCTGTCTGTAATATAAAAACTGCATAATTTCATTATCACGAGTACCCATGCTTGAGTCAAAAAAGGGGCATATATTTTACTTGATGAAGCGGCCTTTAAGAAATTCTATCTGCACATTTTAGGTGTAATAAGGAAATGTAATTTACATTTCCCATGGTTTCTGCAAAACCTGAAAAGAAGGCTTCCTTAACAAACTTCTAAAATAAGTACTTTTATAAATTGGCATTTTTATAAATTAACCTTATCCATCCCCAGACAGCCGGTCATGTTTTTTCCTGGCTGCTTAGCTCAGAGAACCTGCTTTGAAAAATCATTGAGCTGCATTGTGAAGTCAGTGATTGGACAGCTACAGACAGTCTGGACAGGGCTGGAAGGGGAGGGTTTGCAAGAGATCTGACGATTTTTGCAAGCTGTCTTTGGATAAATGCATAATTAAATGCATGTTTTCATTGGAATATATCTGCTAAATAGTGATATATATTCTATTTTATATAATTTCTTTATTTGAGCATTTCTTTTATTTGAGCCTCTTTAAATATATTGTTAAAATGTCAATGTGCATTTTCCTCTGTTGACTTAACAATCAAGGAAACAAGACATCATAGAAAAGGAACATGCATTAAAACACACGTGGAAAAACAAATCCATTTATTAGTTTGACATACATGAATATGTTTCTACACTTTATTTGAAAAGAACATACAGAAATATGTTAAATACGCTATGTAGAGGAATATCATTCTTTAAACATGTCATAATTCCTTTTTTTTTTTTTTTTTTCAGAAAAACTGCAAGAAACTTCAACCAGCCGATGTGTAAAGCCGCTAAAGTGACCCTTGTTGAGGTGTGTACATTTCTTTGCAGCTTTATCTGTATATCCGATTTCCACATGCATTGATGTAGCTAAACGTCTTCATATCCATTTGAAATCCCAACAGAATGTACTACTCATTACTGGCACCTCTCAAATTACAGTGTAATCTGCTGTGCAATGTTTGCTGTAGCTCTAGGGAAACTGTGATGAATTTAAACCTTTTTTCCCCCAATTGCATTGCACAGCTCTTTTGTAGGCTTCTTCACTTAACTCAAATTTGGCAAGAATTGAGTCTATTTCCAGCTAAAATTTGCAATTACCTAACTAATATATGGTTTATTAATTAACCTCGTGCCATGACAATTACACAGGTTTTCATTTGTGTATCCACCCCCTCTATCTCCCTTATGTGTGTTAAAATATGTGTGCCAGGGTATAACGTAAACTTTTTTTTTTTTTTTATAAATGTGTTTTATTTTTTTAAAAATGTTTTAAAATTATTTAATGTCCACAGCCTTACAGTAACCTTCATTAGACCTCAAAAGTGACCTGGAAATGTTTTGACATTTATATATTAATAAACTGTTCGCAAAGGGGCCCCTTTGTGACAATAACAAGTAAAATTTGAATTTGCTAAAGAGGACTCTAGACTTTGTTATTCTGGCAATTATAGGTGGAGATTCCTAAACCGCTAGCAGATAATTATGTGTGTGTATTCCTAATCCTGACTGGTTATTTCGATTCCTTCCTGATTGGTCACGGTTTCTCGATAACCGTTTTTTAAGGTAGAATGATTATTAGTTTAAACTCACAAATCTTGCTTTAAATGCTAATTTTAAATGGACCCTATAGTACCAGGAATACAAAGCTGTATTCCTGGCACTAAAGCTCATGCAGTGCTGGGTCTCTGACTCCGCCTCCTGTGACATCCATCAATGAGCGGACGCTAATGCACATGCGCCGTGAGATCCATGCGTGCATTAGGCCTCCCCATAGGAAAGCACTGAATCAACACTTTCCTATGGGGAAATAGCTGATGTTGGATGTCCAGTGTTAACGGACCAAAAGTCCGTTAACACCCAGGAAGAGCTTCTAGTGGCTGTCTAGTAGATGTCCACTGGAGGCAGACTAGTGCTGCAATGTATACATTGCAGTTTCTCTTGAACTGCAATGTTTTGCATTTCAGCACTAAGTGCAGTACGGACAGTGCACCCAGACCACTTAAATGAGCTGAAGTGGTTTGGGTGCCTATAGTGTCCCTTTAATTGTATTTTCAATGTTCAGGTGGAAATTAAGATCCTAATCATAATATTTTAATGATTGAGATATAAATATAGATATGCATTCGTATATATTTACGTGTGTATCATAAATCCTTTTTTTAAATTTTTTTAATTTTTTTTTCTCTCTCCAAGATGAGCTGCTTTGTTTCTGAAAGTTTCCTAGAATTTTATTGTTCATAAATGATGGAAACAAAATGATAGCTATTAAACACTGTGTCTGGCACCTGCTGACTGTAATGAGCCACCAGCTGGGTCATAATACCTCTCTGAAGGTTAATTAATACAAAGTAGTTAAAAGCCATCTCCTTGTAAAACGGTTTTATTTAGAATATTTCCTGAAAGGGACAGTGACGTGAAACAAACCTATACACGAGCAGTAAGCCTAAAAATGTTTTATCCCTGGAATTGGTGACAAGCTCAAAATAAAGCAAATCAAAGGGAAAAGGCTCAATTTCCCATCAATTAATAACTCCTGCTGTCTTTGAATTCACTGATTCATAAGTAAACTTCATTGCTTTTTAAAAATTTTTTTTTATTTTTTGTGATTATATCATATCTCCCCACTCTGCAGATATGCGTGTGGGCAAGCTTGGGAGTGTGTTCTTTTTAGATTACTGTGATTGGTTCTGGTTCCATGCCAGCACCCAAACATTCTGTGTAGTACAGAAACCTGTTCGATTACAGAGTTCTGTTCTATGATGTAGAGGGGAGAAAGTTGGACATTCTGGTGTGTTTTTTTTTTTGTTTGTTTGTTTGTTTTTAAGTGTGTATTTATGTTTAACTTTAAGCCTTATTCAGTACCACACTTTCCATGAGCATAAATGGTAGATTATGCTAACGGAGTGTTACTATAATCTTACTTTTGGTAATGATAGGAGGCGATTTATTAGCATCTCTCTCTTTACTGAAAACTTCCAGCAGCACAAAACAACCAATCAGAAAATATTTCAACTTAACACAAAAGGCCCTGAACCACCCAGCTTTTCCTCTTTCTTTTAGCGAACCAAAATTAAAGTTTCAAACAGAGTTCAAACCGCGAACAATCCAACAGAAATCCAGAAATAAACTTGTAATCCAGACTACGGTAGTGGGAACATCCAAAGTGTCCGTAGAATCGAGAAACAAGGTATAATGTGTTGATTAAACTGAAAAGAAACAGAAAGAAGTGTAAGGCAACTGAAATGATGATGTACATAATCCAACAACTGTCTATCAATTAAGTTCAATAGATGCAACGAATGTAATGGTTAACAAAATTTAACAGTCATCATACAGAACGCTAGTCTAATCTAAGCTTTTTAACCACATAACTTAAAGGACCACTATAGTGCCCTGAGGGTGCCCCCACCCTCAGGGACCCCCTCCCGCCCGGCTCTGGAAGGGGGAAAGGTGTTTAAACTTACCTTTTTCCAGCGCTGCGCGGAGAGCTCTCCTCCTTCTCTCCGCCACGTCGGCTGAATGCGCACGCGCGGCAAGAGCTGCGCGCGCATTCAGCCGGTCGCATAGGAAAGCATTTACAATGCTTTCCTATGGATGCTGGCGTGCTCTCACTGTGAAAATCACAGTGAGAAGCACGCAAGCGCCTCTAGTGGCTGTCAATGAGACAGCCACTAGAGGATTAGGGGGAAGGCTTAACCCATTAATAAACATAGCAGTTTTTCTGAAACTGCTATGTTTATTAAAAAATGGGTTAACCCTAGCTGGACCTGGCACCCAGACCACTTCATTAAGCTGAAGTGGTCTGGGTGCCTAGAGTGGTCCTTTAACATGACATATACAACTGCAGAGAGAGTGTGAAAAACCTAGTGAGGTTAGCGAGAATCTAAAATTAGAAATGGATAAGAGCAGAATGGAAATTACCCAGAGTGGGAAACAAAGAAAGGGCAGGAAATATTCACCTCCTGTCATTACTTAAATTATAGGTACACTCCGTTAGCATAATCTACAATTTTATCACATGACAGGAGGCTTTATATTTGCAGTTTTAACGCCCAGAATTGAGGAAAGTAAAAGAAGCGTGAGAGGATCGTCTAAAATAAAACACACGGAACGTAGATTCTCTTGACCAGACTGCGCATCGCATAATGTCGATCAGCGATGCTCCCGCCAAAAACGCCTGAGAAGCCGCAGCCCCGTGAACCGAATGTTCACCTAAGCTAGAATCTATACCGGCTAAAGACAGGGTCCAGCGAATCCATCTAGCCAGAGTTGTCAAAGATACTGGTTGATGGGGTCTAACATAGGACACCAAGAGTTTACCCTAAGAAGCCCATAACGTCTACTTACCGTAAAAGAGTACTAACTGCGCACAAGCGGGGAACCGTCTGGAAAAACTGGCTAATTTTTTATTTTTTTATTTTTTTTCCCCCCAAGCATTCCAAGCAGAGATGTAACTCCTAGGGCCCAGGAGTCCTATAGGAGATCTTTAAATGCCTGCGATAAGCTGTGGACCGTCCAGGCTCCACGGAAAATGTCCCAAGCCACCAGGTCTGGTTTCCCTTCTAATACCAGCGGATGTGGTTTACCCCCTGAGGACCTGTCAGGAGGAGGGGAAATGCTAGCAAAATAAGTGGATGGTCCTAAACAATTCAGTAGATCCGTGAACCATGCTTGGTCCCTTCAGAGGAGGGTGAGGAGAAGGAGGGATCCTCCGTGGAGGCGTAAGTGATGTATCCCCCTAGTCAGCATGGCGAATGGAGGGAAGGTGTAGGCCCCCTCGTCTGGCTAAATTCTATAGGAATGCATCCACCGCCTCGCATTCCGGGTCTGGGAGCAAACTGAAGTACCTCGGGAGTTGTCTGTTTGTCCTGGAGGCAAACAAGTCCACTTGCAGAAGGCCCCTGAGATCCATCCGGGTGTGAAAAATTGAGTGATCTAGCCGCAAGTCACTGGTGTCTCGTCAGTGGTGAGAGAACCAGTCCGCCGTGAGGTTGGTGATCCCCGGGAGCTCCTCCGCCTGCAGCATGATGTTGCGTGAGAGGCAGCATTTGTAAATGTCCTTCGTTGCTTTCATCAGAGAACAGGATCTGGCTCCTTCCAGTCGATTTGATGTTTCGAACTGCCGAGATATTGTCCACCCAGAGCAGGATGCAACAATCTGAGAGGCCTTTGGCCAGACTACATATGGCAAATGATCCGGTGATCACCTCCAGGCAATTTATATGTAACCCAGTCTCTTCGTCCGACCACGGACCTCCTGTGGATACGTCCGCGCAATGAGCTAACCAACCCCAGAGGCTGGCATTCGACTCCACCACGAAATCCAGTGATGGCCCAAATATTGCTCCGCCATTCCAGGTTTGCATGTGTAGTAGCCACCTGCCCTGAGAGGGGTATCCAGTGATCGTATGTATAGCCCAAGCGTAGGTACTTTGCCTTCAACTGTTGTATGGCACGGTAGTGCAGAGGTCCTGGAAAGATCGGTTGGATCGAGGAGGAGAGAAGTCCTACGATCCGTGCAATTAATCTCAGGGGGGACCATTTCCATGCAAAGGATCCGTCTAATCTCCTTCCGGATAAATGCTATCCTGGCTGCGGGTAGGAGAAGAACACAGCTCACAGAGTCTATTTCAAAGCAGAAGAATTGTACCAGAAAAATTTGCTGTAGAAAAACTATCCTTCTGGGGTGAGCTGGACTACACGTTTGGCGAAGTGATTTGATCTTTGTCTATGAGGAGTCTGTTCTCCCTGGAAACCTGTGTAGGTGGTGTGGTGCTAGTGAAACTTGATAACATATTCCTGGATCGTTTTGTAGGATCCATTCGTCCGTAGTGATCGTCATCCAATTCAATGGCCTGCAGTAATTGTGATCACCAGAGTACATAATGTGTAACTCACCTGCAGGGAAGCATCCCGACCTCTTCCTCTAGATCCTCTCGCGTGGTCAGCGCTTCTGTGAAACGATGACCTTGACGTGTACGATTGATAGAACGAGGAAGATTGTGCATAAGCTCTGGGGCCCGTGGACCAAAATCAGCTGGTGGCTCGGCCCCCCTGCCGACCAGCCCTCCCAAAAACACTTCTGCCAGGTGGGGGATGGGATACTTGCTTTAGGGAGGATTGAGCCTTGTTCAACATTGTGGAAAGGTTAACGTGCTTCTTTAGCTGAGTTACAAACTGCTTTGCCAGGGGCGCCAGCTCTTTGGAACACAGTTCCAGGAGTTTCAAATCCATTCTCAGAATTGCCGACCTCTCGGGGCAAAGGGCAGCGTTGATGTTGCACTGAGAGACGCAGGTAGGCTTCACCCTTGGGTTTGGGCGGGGGAGCGCGGGTATCCCTCTAAGGATAATTGTCACCAGTACCGTTTCAATCACGTACTTGGAGTCCATTTGGGGCATGTCTTGCCAATCCTCTTCGTCGGAGGGAGAATCCTTAACCCGCCATTCATTCACCATCTCCAGATTGTGAGGTGGGCAAGAGTCATCGTCGGTTGAGTGGGCCTTTATCCATCCTGTAAAAGACAGCGACAGTCTGTGGGCGTACGGTAGTCAGTCGCACGCCAGATTCCAATCCGAGTATAGTGCCAAATAAGAGGGGCTCACCCTCCAGGTGTACGAATGGGGGGGTTTCCCGAAGTGAAATAAGAGACGTGGGAGTCTCCAAATTTGTGAGGTGGACCCCCAAACATGCCAATTTATTCTATGGTGGAATCAAAGTTGCCAGTGGTGACATATACAGCACAGGGGCCCACCCCAGTTGTACGTCAAGGCTGGGACTCTCATGGTCAACAAAATACAGGTGTCTATAAACAGTATGATAAATGGGAGGAGACCCCTCGTGACAGTGATAGTGTCACATCTGATTTCTAGGGGCTCACCCCATGTGGTGTGCCTTGTGCTACAGAGGGCACCCTCAAATGGAAACTGGTATATAGGCAAACAGGCACAATGTAAGGACATATAGCACAGAGTGCAGCCCTGCAATTAGGTACACCACAGAGCATGGTACATAAACAGTTAAGCAGTTGCAGCTCACAGGTTGTGGTTCTATGTGACAGTAATCCAATATAGAATGACACGTGTGTATAATAAGCACTCCTTTAATGGCATAAATGTAGTATATTTCCTTTGCAAATGGTACCTTCATGGCAGTTAAGCGGGACTTGCAGGTTCCCTTTAATAGGTAGTATATGACATCTGCAGATAGAAGCACTTGTCTGAGGGTAGTTGAAGGTCCAGATCACGGTAATACAACTCTGGAGGGAGGGAGAAAATGGGCAATGTTGTACTTGCGAGATCCCAGATTGCCACCGCGTGTAATGCGTAGCGGGGTCTGTGGATTTGTGGGCCCAGTGTCGAGACAGCAGAAGGGGACCAATGTGTGTGGGCAGAGCCCCAATACAGAGTTACAAACCCTCAGGTGCACCTAGGGGTTTTAACCCCAATATACAGAAATCTTCCCGGCAGTGCCCTGCTGCAAAATGCATATATGTCCAATCTGCAGTGCAGCATAGCCCTATAATGTATACATGTGACAATCTATCTATGGATGGCCACAGATAAACACTGAGGGGAGTAACTTATGATGTCCAGGAGACACAACCCAGGATGTAGGGTGAGAGGGCCCTCTCAGGCTGTCTCCAGGCCCAGACTATGGTCTGGGAGTAGGTCCCTGACTCAGTGTCCCAGGGCCAGGAGGGGAAAACTCCCAGCAATCAGACCTCCCAAGGAGGGTAATCACAACCAGGGGAGGGGCCGCGAGTAATCCATAGAAGGAGCCGGCCGCAGCACAGCGGCCACGTGGAAGAGAGGATCCGGCCACCAAGTAGTCATGCTGGATCGCGAGTACCCCAGAGACCAGGAGAAATCATGCGGGAGCTCAGGTGGATCGGAGGAGGCAGCCCGACAGTCAGCCTCCTGAAACCCCTGAGCACACACAGCCCGATTATAAGGAAAAAGGGGGTGATAAGATATAAAGATCGGAGGTAAGATAGATGGGGGGGGGGGGGTAGAATCCCAAGATACAGGCAAGCAAAAGAAGGCCCACAAAGACCCCCCCCATGAATCAAAATAAAATATACAAAATAAAGTAAACTAGGGAAAAGCAAAATACAGAAAAAAAACTATACATCTCCAAATAAACTAAATATAATGTAAATAAGCAATATGAGATCCCACAGCCACCCACTATGAGCAGGAGGCAGTGGTACTCTGACTTATACTGATGTGGAGCAGCAAAGGAAGAGGAAGTAGTTTGTGGGGACGGGAATTTTATGGTCTCCTTTCTTTTTTCTGATTGGTTGTTTACTCTCTGTGTTAATGTGCTGTTGTGGAGTTCTAATTAAGAGAGACTTAAGCAAATATTTGCCTCCTGTCCTGTAATAAAATTTAAATTATTTTTATTGCAATGGCATGAAATTTTTAAAAAATGTTCAATGATTTTCTAACAAATCTATAAAGAACTTTTGACCAATCTACAGTTTCTTTAATAACTGTTCTATTACTTTGTCTGTTAAATTTTATACTATCTAGATTTTGTTTTTCCTGTTGAATAGTAAAAGAACAGGCTGTTGTAAACATTTTACACTTTGCATAGTAACAACCACAATGAAGTTTAAAGGGATCCTATAGTGCCAGGAAAACAAAGCAGTTTTCCTGGCACTATAGGGTTAATAGATCCCACCTCCCTCGCGCCCCCACCTCCCACGGGCCTGAAGGGGTTAAAACCCTCTTCAGCCATTTACCTAAATCCAGCGCCGATGTTCCTCGGTGCTGGGTCAGACTCCGCCCACGTTTCTCCAGTGACTGTCAGCCGGCGGGGGAGACCTAATGCGCATGTGCATTAGACCTCCCCAAAGGAAATTATTATTCAATGTTTTCCTATGGAGAAAATCTGACGCTGGAGCTCTGAGAGGATGTCCATTGTCAGAAAACGGACCAAAAGTCTGTTTGGATTCTGAAAGCCCTCTAGTGGCTGTCTGGTTTTACATTGCAGCACTTGGTGCAAAATGGTCACAGCACCCAGACTACTACAGTGTCCCTGTAAGGATTTTCACTGGTGCCTCTAAAAGTTAATTACTTAACCTTAATTTCCAAGAGTTTGCCATTTTCTCCCAGGCAGTCATTTATAATAACATCTTGGTTTATGCAGGACTACACAGAAGTTACGATAATGAGTACCTACTTAAAGTAACGTTTTTCTTGTGCATCTGTATTGAGTATTTTCCAGACTAGCGTTTCCCAATTGGTGTTCCGCGAGAACACAAATGGGGTTCCGCCGTAATTTCGCCTAACAAAATGGATGCCGCGATTTAATCACTTAATGGCCTGGTCAGGTGCTGTGCTACTTTTATGTACACGATTGGGCCCATGTAGTATCGACCGGAGATCAGAGTTGCTGCCGCACAGAAGGGGCAGAGACTGGAGACGGCAGCCCAGACATGACAGAGAAGAGGCTGGAGTGAGCATGCAGCATCTCACTCCCATCAGCCTCAACTTACCTTGTGGTCCTGGTGATGTTGGCTAACAGGAGGGTGGCTGTGGTGTATGTCAGATTGTGTATGTGTCACTGTGTGTTTCAGTGTGTTTTCATGTGCCAAGGTGTGTGTGTGTGTATCTGAGTATATGTGTATTTGTGTGTCAAGATATGTGTCACTATGTGCATCTGAGTGTGTGTGTGTGTATGTGCCAGTATCGGAGTGTGTGTATCTGTATGTCGGACCGACTCTCGACTCCCGAAAACGCCGGCTGGGTAGTGGGACTGACCATCTCCACTGCCAGTGCTGATGGCTGCTGCTGGGGAGAGAGACCGGTTGTCTCTAATCCCTTTAAATCCTGTTGCCGCTGGGGAGTCGGACCGACTGTCTCGACTCCCGGTAACGCTGCGTAGTGCTGGGTAGTGGGACCGACCATCTCACTCTCAGTGATGCATGCTGCTGCTGGGACGAGGGACCTACAATCTCCTCTCCCAGTAACGGTGGCTGCTTTAGCAATATAGATGAATGTGGCCTCCATTCGTTTACAGACATGGGATACGGCCCCTTAATGCGAAAAAAGGTTGCTAACCCCTGGTCAACAGGGCAAACATTTTATTTCATAATGGGGGATTTGCCTTGCTGAATATTAATTGTAGGGAACTGAAACCTTCGTAACTAAAAGTACCACTTCTCAAATTGTGTTAATTTTGTCCACTAATTTTTGTAATGAGCTGGGCACCCTGTTAGTATATGGTCTTATTCGCCCAACACAGCTAGATTTTGGCTTCATTTACTACAAACTTCTGTCTTCATCTGGGACTCCAGATCTTCCCTATTTTTTTTTTCCAGTAAAATGTTTTAGTCAACATTCAGACTTTTTAATAATAATCCACTATATATATAGAACCCATTAATCACTGTACACACACAGCTTTGTGCAGTGCCTGGGTAAAAAACAAAATATCACCTTATGCCTTAAGTTAATGAATCAAGTCGCTTGACAATTCATTAGCACACGCTGCAGCCACCTTGGCAACTTTGTCTGCATCCCACATATTTACTTTATACTGAGTTTGTGTGGGTTTGTAGGTGTGTGTGTGTCATATCATGAAGGTTATGGATCAATAAAAAAAAAATGGAGAGGTGATTTATAGAGATATATTGGAATGAAAGATCATAGATCAGATCTAATTGAATAAGGTCAACATTGAGTTGTTACCATTCTCACACATAAAATTTCAGCCTTCAAAAATAGCTCTGTTTGGAGCCAGCAACTGATCTGCACATCTACTGCATTTGTAAAGTAGCAGCGCAGTTTCAGCCCTGTGTACAAAATAAGAGATTTGGATTTGGGGGAAAGATGCTCAGTTGTAAACATTTGCTATTTATTGGTGTAATTGTAATAATTGGTGTAATGTTATTTTGTAACTGTGTTTGTGTTTTGTTTTTTTTTTAATCAAGTTTTTCATTTTTATTTTGAAGAAACAGTATAAAATAAGAACAGTATGGGGCATAAAAGTCCCAAATAACAAAACTATTTAGAGGACACGAAAATACAGTGTACAGTGACGTTATAATTTTTATTTTATTTTTTTTATTTTTATTAAGCAGTATATAAATAATTTTTAACTGATGTGGTATTCATCACATCCTTGGACTCTCCCATTGCTATAACAAAGATTACCAGTAGAAAGGTATCACCATAGAGTTATTCACTGGCAATGTAACATCTGCCAATTATATCGTTACCAAAAACCGCTAACACAATGCTGGCTAATTACTAAAACAATTTTTAAATGAAAATCAAGTCCCCCACATCAACTTGGACACATCACAGATATCGAAATATGCCTTAACTATAAATCTCCTGTCTTCTCTAAATCTTAGTCTCTAGCATTCCAAAGTCAGAAATATGAAAATGTATTATACTAAATCCAAGGTAGGGCAAACTATTTACACCGATGCATAAAACCCTTTCTGATATACAACTATAGGATTTTCCCACCAACTAAACCATTATAAACTCTAAGATTGCCACTCTATTCTGCCATTTTAATGGGGATATTCCTTCTGAATCCACACATCAACAAGAGTGTGGGTACATTGCCCCAATGAGGTAGAGTATTAGTAGCACACCTAGATATTCCATTGTTAAGTATACCTAATCAAAAAAGATTTTCTAACTTTGTGTGTTGCGTAACCAGAATTTTAGGGCTTTTTTTTTTTTTAATTTTTTTTTTTTATATTTTTTTTTTTTGCTGTGCATGAGGATACTGAGGCAACCTGTAAAGCCACAACAGCAGTACAGGAAGAGAGACTGACATAGAAATACACATAGATTGAAGGGATATACATATAGTAGTGTTACGTTATGTGGCATTTGCGGACTTTGCACGATTTTAGAATGTATAGTAAAAGTCATGCTAAATTAACATGTCTAAGTGCAAGGGCAACTCAACATATATATTCGAAAGTGTAATATTAGACATGGTAAATGTAAGGCAAGAATAGTTAGATTAAGCTAAAACAGAAATTTCTCAGATTAAGCCTCCTAGGAGCTCCCCAGGTTAGTGGGAATAGAAGAGATGCAAAATAGAAGCTTATAACTCTGTTAAAAGGGAACGGGTGAGAGGCTGTATGCCCTTCAGTTCCCAGTTTGTGTGTTTAGTTCATCCTATGCACTCCGTAGGCAGAGCACATACCCGTAATAGGGTGGTATGTCGCAGGCCCCTGAACCCAGATGCTTGCAAGCTAGTCCATGCAAAGGACAGGATTAGGATTCTTTTGTAGCTAGTCAGGCTTTCCACAAGAATCCGCTTTGAGCCACTTACATTGTATCTCCCACACTTGTGGAGTCCCAACATTGGTTCGGGATGGTCTCCTCTTGCGTGCTGCCTATGTTAGGGCGTTGGGTGTTTCCTGCCCTTCCACTATTTTTGGGCCTTCACTTTTGCCCGAGCCATGGGTTTCCACTGCTTAGGAGGGATCATCTGTGGAGGCGAGTGGTCACTCGGTTGGTTTGAGGCAGCTTGACCCCTATTATGTTCTAGTTTCTACCTGAAAGCGTCGAAAATTCTGTCCAGCCTAGACACTATCATCCTTTTTCTTGTCGATGCCGGGGAGCCATGTGGCGTCTGCCATGTTAGATGGCTCTTCAGTTTTCTTCAGTATCTGTGGCTTCACCCTTCATTCTCCCTTTTTTTTGGCCTGTGTGACTTTATTATATTCAGATTAAGTGCTTTTGTTACTAAACTCTCTAAACCTGTTATAACTAACTTCAAATAAGCGTTACGGGGACATAATTGTATATTGTTTGTGTGTACTAACATGTTTAAATAAAACAGTGAGAGGTATTCATTAAAATGTTAAAGATATTATACAAAAAAAACCTTGCCAAAAATTTATTGGCTCATTCAGTATAAGATAAATTTTTGTGTATACTCTTGTGAGCCATTGGACCTGAAATGTTGTTTTCTATCATGCTCCACCTGGAATGGGGGGGAGGGGGGGAAGCAGGGCAGTGGGTATTCAAGTTACAATACACAGGGGAAGGTGGGCGCCACTGAAAAGGTTTAGTGCGTGAGTCCACACTGGTAAGCAAGCCTTCTCAGGGTTATCCTTGGGCAAATAACAGTTGAAGTTTTCTGGTCATGAAAGCCACAAGTCTGTTTCATGCAGTTTAAGCTGATCTAATGATGTGCCAAAGCTGCTTTTGTGGGAATTTTTAAAAGCCAGGCATGGGACCAACCTTGAGCCTGCCTTGCTATATTCCAGGGCTGTTGGGGTCCTTGGGGGTATATTTAAACAGGATGAGTGCACTTAAATAGTAAATTGAAAGTTTGGAGGGTATCAATCAACATTAAACAAGTTCTACAAATTTTCAAATAAAAAGAATCGCAAATACTTCACGGCTCAGTTCCCAAGACAATATCTAATGTAAGATTCAGGTTAGATATAAGAACCAAGCTGATTTTACAGCCTTGGCCGACCTTGAGGAATTGCCTCTTCGCAAAGAACTGTTTGTGGATAATAGACAGAACAGTTAATAAATCAAAGAATGTTAGGATTTATATCTTCTATCATTTCAATGCATCTTTAGCTGAAAGAGGCTAACAATTTATTGCCCAATTCTTGTTACAATCCATATCTTTTAATCCTCCAGGGTACTGTCAAGAGAACTCCTGTCTGTATACTTCATTTGTTTTGTGTATTTATGTAGGTGGTTTTTATTTATTTTTATTGGTGAAAAGTGCGATTAGTTCATCTGAGAAATTTAAAAAAAAGCTATTAAAATGAAATATAAAGTCATGTTAAACTTTTTGCCATGTTGGTAAAAAAAAATAAAAAAAATAAAAAAAATAATAAAAATACAATTTGCTAGTTTGAATAGCAAGGGGCTGATTTGTATGTGTATTTAATACATTTTTACGACTTTGTAACTTAAAAATGTGGCTCGAAGGTTAACTAAACTCCTGACTAGTGGTGTCATAGTGACAAAGTTTCACTTACTGTTTGTCTAAATAGTAATACAAAGTACCGGTAATACATGCTTACTCCATGCAATGAGAGAGAGGATGTGAGTGTTGGTATGCAGGAGGTTTCAGCTGCATTGAATCTGCCCTGTCTCTGACGTCACTGAATCACTCTGTCCACTCAGTATGTATGTTGGTTTCGTTCACAAGGTTTGACATTGTAGTTTATGCTAGTGTGCATTCAACGTTTGACTAGAGGGTGGAAATAGTGTTTGTGACATGAGCGTATACATGTGTAATGGATGAAAGTCAATGAACTACTACTTTGAATTAGTCAAATGCAGATTCATTTGTCTAAAGAAATCTGTTTTTTGCTATACCTCTTATGTTGTACTTTTTACTTTTTATTTAAAAAAAAAAAAAATTTAAATAGGAAATTCGGTAGAAGTATTGGGCGCCCATGCGCCAAGGCTTGCCTCGAACCCACTCAGTAAAAAGAACACTGCGTTGCTGCTAGAGTCTCCCAATATGTAGAAATTCAAATTTCATGTCTTTGTCATATGTTCTTGTGGTGATTGTTATGTAGGTTTGTGTGTGTTCATGCATGTCCTCTAGTACTGGATCCTTCTATGTGTAATTACTCAGAAAATTTTTTTAGAAAGGCCCTGGGAATAGCATTATCCACTTTCATATTTGTTTTGGAAATCATGTCTTGACCAATATATGCAACATGGTTCTGCTGAAGTAATCCTTAATTGCTGCACCATGTCCATATTTGGACAGCATTGATAGGCTGAGCATGTCAGATGACATGATTAAGAATCTGTGGAGAACTCCCACCCTTCTGAAAAAAATCACTTGAAAAGGCATGTAGTGGCTATGGTGCTTAAGCCACCCATTTTCCTTCTGTTTATCTGAAAAATTCTAAGTTTTTTTTAAGCTTGCTTGCTGCTTTGGATTTTCATTGAAGTGGAGACTAATTTGTCTTATGGACAGGCCTGCGGTTGATAAAAGGCAGAGCTCCACTATCCACAAGTAACGACTGTGGGATTCAGGAATTTTGTTGCTCATGTCATCCCCCATTGATTGTAATCTTGTGCTCTTGCGCATGCGTGTAAGTATAGCACTGATTTTTGCCTCCTGGCCAATTAAGTGCCATGAGCTGAACAAGTTCTGGAGGAAGAAAATGACTTCAGATAAATATACCAACCTTCCACTTGATCCAAACTGCATATTGTTCAACGGTACCATCTGCAAAGACTCCAGAAAGTGACAGATTCACTTTAAGTAATGATATATTTTATTTATTTAATTTCCTCTCTTTTGGCAGGTTGAGGAAATTGTTGAAACTGGAACATTTGCACCTGAAGATGTCCACATTCCAAGCATTTATGTGGATCGAATTCTCAAAGGAGAAAACTATCAGAAAAAAATAGAGGTATGAATTTTTTGTTCTATAGCAGATACTTATTCAATTCTATTATTTTATGTTTAAATATGGTCACTCCATAGTTGCAGGTATGCGTGGAATCACAACAAGTGTAGTTACCAGAGGTTTAGTAATCGTTTATAAGCATTTCACAAGTGCATGAATGCATATTGTACTTGAGAATCTCAGGAGAATCTGCAGGGAAAGAATGATTAGAGGCAAGCACATCTCTGGCAATTGAATAGCAATTTCCTGTATGTGTTAGTGGTAAAATACCTATTTGCTATGTAAATTTAAAGGTACATTCCAAGAACATAGGATTAAAGGAACACTCAAATTATCTTATAGAGTCCAATGCCCTGTACACAAGTGAGCGGGTAAACCAAGTTTTTATTTGACAAAACTTAGCAGAAAACATTGCATGTTTCCTCTCTGAAGCTTGATTGGCTGACTAATTGCTTGGTTTTTAAATCTGTTTGAGGGGTCCTCACTGCATGTTGCACAACTGTAGTTGTGCATTTTTGTATTTTGTTGTATTGGGCAGAAAACTACACTTTATTGAATGTATCATGTTACAAGCCTTTGACAGCTTGAGTTGAACAAAACTGTAACGATGTTACAAATGTGTCAAATGTAATAGGATCTGCTGAATATTTTTTATATATTGTAGAATTGTGTGTGTATATATAAAATTTTGTTTTCTTTTCTTGATAGAGGCTAACCCTACAGAAGTCAGAAAATTCCACACCCAAACCTAAAAAAGCTTCCGACCTTGTAAGAGAGAAGATAATTAGGAGAGCAGCTTTGGAGTTTGAGGATGGGATGTATGGTATCCTTTAATTACTAGAATTAGTGAATCAGTGTACAAAAATAGTCCTGTCTCTGGAGAATGTAGAACTATGATCATTGTGGGCACTGAGAGACCAGGGTTGGAGTGAATGGCAAGATACATACACATGGTCAGGAATGGGGATAAAACCGGTCTTCCAATCAACCTATTTAATAGTGGACTGCTAACTTCAACCCCCCAAAAAATACTGCATATATTAAGCACATGTTGCTCAAGGGACTAGATGATTAGGTGCCCTTTGTGATCTTGGCCATTCATTTGATTGATTCATTTGATATTTGACTATGAATGAGTACCAAGAGACACATGTGATGTGTGCCAGAGTCAAAGACTCTATTTTTGCCTTTACCTAAAAAAACGGTTATGTGTTTGTTATTTAGCGTTGGGGCAGTTAGCTCTTAAATTATTGGATCCTGAATTTTTTTTTTAATTTATTTATTTTTATTGTGGGATGTTTAGGTTACATCAATATATTGATTTGGGGAAAACCATAACCTTCTTGAGACCTTCATATGTCTTTTTAACTAAAAACTGATCCAGATGATTCATTCAATTTATATCACTTTATTTAACAGCGATTTTCTAAACCATGGAAATTGCATTAGTAAAGCAGAATGACATAAAGTTTCACTTCACAAAATTTTGTTTTACTTTCAAGCATTTTAGTTTCCATTGCTATTGGTATTTTGGGGAAAGAGTGCCATTATTAAAAAAAAAGTAATTCCACCTTAGTATATTAGAACTTAAATGTGTTGACTTTAACAAACCAATATTACAGCCAACCTAGGCATCGGCATTCCAATGTTGGCAAGCAACTTTATCAAGAAAGACATCACAGTCCACCTTCAGAGCGAAAATGGAGTGCTTGGTCTGGTAAGGCTGTTTTTCTATTATATTTTAACTATTTATAACATTAGTGTTGATCAGTATTAAATGTACTTAAGGTGATATTTAAATTTTTTTTTATTTTTTTTTTGTTCTTCCAATTGTTTCTAATTTAAGATTAATATTTTGACATAGCACTCTCCATTTAGCTACAACTATGCTCAATTATAAAATGTTTGCTAATTTTATACTTGGGTCATCTGTAGAGGTTCTCAACCCTGTTATTGTGCACCCCAGATACTTTACAGTTTAGTCATTTTGCAGTTCTCAAGAGGATATTGATAAAACCGGCAAGGCAGGGTTGTTTGGTGACTTGTTTCTGAATCAGTCTTTTAAATGGTAAGAAGTAGAGATTTTCCTCAGATGGTGGCATCTTCTGTGTTTTTGTTTTTTCCTCCAGCTCCTGTGAACGTATATAAAAATCAGAGGGGCAGAAAGAGTAAACCGTCGTATAGCAGGGGGAAGGGGTTGTCTACTGTTTTGATTATACAGATTAATACATGCCATGCATTGGCTTAGATTTAACATAAATAAACTTTTTTTTTTTTTTTTTATACAAGCAATGGATGTCTTGACATAATACTGAATTACCAATTTAGTAATTAAATGGACTAGAGAAACATATTTGTAGAGAAAGTTTACACATAGTATGATGTACAAAAGTGATTTTAGTGACCGATGTTTCAGATTTTTGTCAATTCCATACTGTACTCACTCATAATTTAGTACATTTTTAGTAATTTGTTTCTTTCATTTTTTTATTACTCAGGGTCCATATCCTTTGGAAAACGAGGTTGACCCAGATCTGATTAATGCAGGCAAGTGAACAGTTGTGTTCTGAACTCAATTTTTTATAGCAATATTTAAAATGTATGTGTTTGGGTGTAACAATAATATATTGTGTATAATGAATTAATATTATATTGTATTGAAAGACAAGTAGATGGCCAGGTGCTTCATTGACAGAATGATGCAGAAGATAAAAAAATTTTATACACTAAAGTCACCAGAAAAATTCCAGCTTAATGTAGTTGTTCTGATGAGTATAGTCAGTTCCTGCAAGCATTCAGAGAAAAGGCAGTGTTTACATTACAGCCTAATGATAACTCCACTGGCCACTTCTCAGATGGCTACTAGATGTGCTTCTTAGGGGATTGTTGCACAGTGTGCAGCAGTGCTTTTCAGTATCAACACCCTCTGCATGGAGACACATAATTTTCCTCATTGAGATGCATTAATAATCTGTCTGGTTAATAATCACGGAGATGCTGATTGGCTAGGATGGCATTTGGCTTAGTCACTTGCCCCATCTCCTTAACAATCTTGGCAATCCAATGCATTTTTATGGGAAAGCATTGTGAAATGCTGAGATCACCACAACTGATGTCAGCCAAGGCAACAAATCAGGGACAGAGCCAGCCGACTGGAATAAAGGGAAGATTTTACTATATTTAGGGGGGCTAACAGACAAGATAGTGTTTTTAAAAAAAAAAAAAATTTTTTTTTTTTTTTTTTAACACTATAGGGTTAGGAATACATGTTTTTGTTAATGACTCTATAGTGTTCCTCTGAAGGAACACTATAGTCACCTAAACAACGTTAGCTTAATGAGGAATTTTTAGTGTATAGATCATGCAGTTTTTACTGCTCAATTCACTGCCATTCAGGAGTTAAATCACTTTGTTTCTATTTATGTCGTTTTTGTCACACCTCCCCTGGCTATGATTGACAGAGCCTGCATGAAAAAAAAAAAACTGGTTTCACTTTCAGTCAGATGTAATTTACCTTAAATAATTGTACCTCTTTCTCTGTAGATTGAACTTTACTCACATACAGCAGGGTCTAGCAGCTATTAACATAGCTGGGGATAAGAAAAATAAACAGAACTTGCAATAAAGGAAGGATAAACTGTAGATGACTCTTTACAGGAAGTGTTTAGGAAGGCTGTGCAAGTCACATGCAGAGAGGTGTGACTAGGATTCATAAAGTGATTTAACTCCTAAATTTCAGAGAATTGAGCAGTGAGGTTGCAGGGGCATGATCTATAAACCAAAACTGCTTCATTAAACTAAAGTTGTTTTGGTGAATATAGTGTCCCTTTAAATATATGTATGGGGCGTAATGGCAAAGAAGCTGTTTAGCACATAATGTGCATACATATAGATATGTAATTCAATTAATTGACATGATCTTTATCATCCGTGTGTGTAACATACTGTATATGCATTCTCCATTGCTGTTACAATTGTCTCAAATGTATATTTTATAATCCATGTTTAAAAAGGTATATTTGGCATTTAAGTACAACTGGGCAAAGTGCAAAATTGTATTTCATATATTGCACAATTATTGCAATCTGGAGGCGGGGGGTGTGTTTTTTTTAATTTTATTTTTTTTATTTTATTTGTTACACTTTGTTCTCTATGTGAAAGCGCTGGCAATGTCCCAAACTTTCGTTATATCGTCTTAGCTTGTTTACAATGATTATGCCACATTCTAGTTTATTATGTCTCTATATCTTCTGTGTGTGTGTGTATTTGTGTATATTTATAATATTATACACTGAAACAAAAGATGTACTCACAGGGAATCACTGTGAAAACAGTGCTTTAGTTTTAATGTAGTAACCATGTTACAGCATGGTTATCTGATCAACGTTTTAACCCCAATGTTTTTTTCACCGTAAAATAGTTTTAACTGTGAAAGCTCTTTTGTTTAAATATGCCCTTGGCTACATGACCAAGATATTATACTCACCCTACTTCAAGAGTGTGCGTGATGTAGTTGTGGTGGTGAAAGGGTTAAAGTTCACTATTTGTCTGCGTTAGAGCGGCAATAATGATAAAAATCCCACTTAACACCACCCACACTTAGCCATGATATAAATATTACTAGTTTAGCGCTGCCACCACCAAGACCATTTATAAATGGGGTGCCTTGGCCCCCCAGGTAACTTAATAATAACCCACCAAGTACAACTTGGCACAATATCTATACAATTGCACAACACTAATTAGTCTCTTCAGGTAATGTGATTATTAACCAGACAAAAGCAGAACTTTAAAAAATAAATATTTACTATGAGCAGTGCACAGAAAAACGAGATGATGCACAAATTATTTACACCAACAGATAAAAAACCCCAAAAAGGATAAAATAACAGAAGTCCTAATCACTTACTCAGGTTTTCAAAGTAAAACTTCTGCCAAGGGGCTCTCTGGCAAGGAAAATGGTGACTCACTCAAAAATAGTTTTTGGCCCCAAGCAAGTAGAATACACACTTCAGTATCATTAGATGTAGATAAGGCGTACCTATAGAGACAATAAGTGACCACCCCTTGTGTTCCAGACCAACATCAATCCAAACTGAAACTTTTTCTTCTATCTCCTCTTTTGTACTTGCCACAGAAATAATAATGGATTTATGAATGTTACCATTTTTCCATTCCATAGATATGTCACACTCCTTACTTATGACTCAATGTAGTAGACATCACACAGGGCCGGTGCAAGGAATTCTGCCGCCCTAGGTAAAGATCCATTTTGCCACCCTCCCTATGCGTTACAAGTTTATTCACTAAACCCCAAACAGAACATTTCACTTTTTTTTTTTTTGTGATTAACAATTTATTAGATAAACCCCCAAAGAAAATATGCTTTTATTTTTGCAACATGTTTTTCTGCAAGCCCCTAGTCTGTGCCAGGTAATACTCCAATGGAGAGGCTTCTAATGGAGACTACGCCTCTGTGCTAAAGCCGCAATTGTGCGCATGCACACTCAATCACAGTGTTCCTATGTTTCCCATTGAGCTCTACTTCAGCTAATTGAGAAAGGGAGAAGGCAGGCGCACGCTAGTACAGCCAGTCTGCCTCTTCTGCTAGCTCTGTGGAACTAAAGGAAGTGGACAAAAGCCTTCCTGGCTGCCTGACAGACATATGGCAAATGAGAGTTTATATTTAAACCAGGCTTCCAGGCCACTTATGTGGCCTCTAAAAGGTTGAATGTTAGGGTGCTCAAGGTCGGTTGAAGAAAGGGCAAAGAGGGGAGGTAACAGGCTGTGGGGCTATACAATAAATTGTTTACTGAAACTGTGCTGCTTTGCAATGAGGAGTCTAATAATGTTTTGTAGATTTTATTTAATTTTATAATATATTACAATTGAATAATAGATCATTGACTTAAATTTACTATTGAAGAATATATCATTTGAATCCATCTCATAAGGGTGCAAAGCTGTAATGTTGTTCCCTTTTTTTTTTTCTCAAAAGAACACTTCAGTGTTAGAAATACAAAGATGTATTCCTAACACTAGTGTCCCTTTGCCCCAAACATGTCCGTGAAAGAGAGATTGTGTTCTGGGTGCCTGCAATGTCTCTTTAATGAGAGGATGACATACTTACAGTATGGACACAACCGCTAAAAGAAAAATCATGTAACATTGAATATTTGTAAAGCAGTTTTTGTTTATATAAAGCTAGCACTCTTACAATATAATTCTGTGACATTTCTGATTGTACGTGTTTCCACTAACTGGCCTTGTGATAACAGAAACACAAATTATAGCTGTTACTCTAGCTTACTTATAAGCTTTGTTGATTGATGCACAAGGTATTCAATAACCAAGTTTGGTGACCCGACTAGTGGGGCTAGAACATATCTGTTTCTATTGGAGTGAAGAAATTCTGGTGAGTTTAGTGGATGTGTGCTGATTTTTTTTTTAAAATTTTTTTTTTTTTATCTTTATTTTCTAGGTAAAGAAACTGTGACAATCCTTCCGGGAGCCTCTTTCTTTTCCAGTGATGATTCCTTTGCCATGATTAGAGGGTAGGTAACCATACAGATATATTTTCCTTTTCACTAGATTGTTACAATCAATTTGATTAGGTGATGCGTCATTTTCAGGCTCCATAACCACCCACATAAGCAGTGTAGTAAAAGTGTATTGCTTGTTAAATGGTCCAGTAGAAGCCTTAAAATCTGAGACTAAAGTTATACTCCAAGCAATTTTGTCCCATTCGTGCTTTATACCTGTGACGAGAGCAATCTCACCACATTGCATTGGAGAAGCCTGGTTGCTCGCCTGCTGCCTTTGGACTATGGCCCCATGTTAAAAGACATCTTTTTTTCCTGCAGAACAGACTTATTCGTGCTTTTCTGCCTGGTGTTCGGTAGATTCAATCTACCGAACAACCGCACAAATGGCTAGACCACCTGGGAGCTGGAGTGTGTCGGCAATTAGCCTCCCTGAAGCTGCGGTTAACCGCAGCTTAATTGGCGAATGCTGGGTGGCCGCCATTCGTATCACGAACACGAGGTCACGGCCATTTTAAACATGCGAACGTACAGCGGTGTTCGACGCTTAATTCGTGGAACTAAAATCGGACACAGATTTGCGCGAACACCACTGAAGCCGCCAACCTCCCCTTCTTGTTCGGTGAAAGTGCACGAACGGCCCGGTGTTCGGTAGTTTTACTTGAATATGTTATACCCCAGATGGGAATCCCATGGAGCCCATTCGCATGAGAACTGACTGTGTAAAGACTTTGGCTCCATGGCGATTACACTGTATTCGTGTGGTATGAGCGCCATTCGCTTAATAATGTGCGCTCAGACCTGAGCTATCTGGGGACATGTTAAATGTATAGTTTTAATGTAACATGTCCTACATGGTGTATTTTAATAGTAATTCCTGTTTTAGTATCCCCACGTGCATAATGGCGATTTGCCTTTGTCTTGGGAGATAATTGAATTACTTCTCAATTATCTCCAGGGCAGAGGGGTGGAAGCCAGGATGTATTGTGGGAATATAATGTGACTGTGTGTCCTATTTGTTTACTTGTCTGTCCCTTGTCACAGTCTCCCATTTGGTCCCTTAGGGGAGTGTCCACCAGGTGGGAGACCTGCATAAATACTGGTCAGGTAGCCCTCATTAAACAGACCACTGCTTGACCCTCAACACGGAGCCTTGTCTCGTCTTTGGGGGGGGATTTGCTGAATGCTGATAGAGACTGATTGCTAGGAGTGTAAGCCGCTTGGATGCTTTTCCTATTCGTCTGCTAGCAGTGATTCGTATGGTTCTAGTTCGTGTGTTTGGAGTGCTATATTGGATGCAGTTCGGGAGTTTGGAGCATTCCCTTATTGGCGGTTCGTGAGTTTGGTGTTTTACAATAGCTGTGCCTGTATCTCTGGAAGGGGAAGATCTACTAAATGGCGGTTTAACCCTTTTATGCTGAGGGTCCGTTACAATACCCATAGGTCAAAGGAATACCATAATATTAAAAATAGATGTAGATACATTGTTAGCCAGTACATTGCACCCTTGTGCATGCCCCAATTACAGAAATTAAGGACCTCCAAGGGAAGCTAATGTCCTCTCCAGAGACCAAGACCATACAATCCGCATTTAAATAATCTTACCAATAACTCTATAACCACACACCAGAAGGAGGCTATGCAGAGATTTTTTGAATATCTGTCCCTCCCGCCTATTCAGCACTTGTATGAAGAAGCTCTACTATCAGTAATAACACAGGATGAGGTTCTTGCGGTAATATTTGCTCTTAAGGAAGACCACTCCCATGACCAAGATGGCAATGGCTACTCTTACTATAACATTTTTATTGAGGTTCCTCATACGGTCCCAATATTCAGTGCAGCATTGATTGCGACCCACTAAAGATTAGGTGAGTTTAGTGGATGTGTTCTCATTATTTTACTGTCAATATAATTCTACTGTCAAAGGAGGGTGGGCTGATACTATAGTTGGTAACTACATGCCCATTTCATTACTCTGACACAAAAGTGCTGTCGAGTGCTTGCTGTCGAGTGCTTGCTGTCTGACTGCTTCCCCTGCTTCCGAAATTAATACACACTGATCAGGGGATTCATTCCTAAATGACCATTACACGAGAATACTAGATCACTTGGTGTGGAGGATGGGTAAGCCGCAGACACCTTCTCTGCTTCTTTCTTTGGATTCAGAGATGGAGTTTGACAGGGTGGGGTGGCTATTTCTATTTGGCTTGTTAGGTATGGAGCTTCCCCTTTCTTATTCTCAGGGCTATTAAGACTGCAGGCACAGTTGAACCTATTCGAGGTACATCCCGCTTCTTTCAATCTATCCAATGGGATGAGACAAGGTTGCCTGTTTTTGCCTTTACTGTACATATTTTCCCTGGGACCTCTTCTTCACATTAAAAAGGAGAACCAATCCATTGAGAGGATTGAGGTTGGAGGAGATCTTTTTAAAATGGCGGCTTATGCCGACATTGTCCTCCCAACACTGTTAAATTCTGAATCTAGACTATACCCACTGTTTGTTCAACTTTAAATATGTACTGTCATTATCTGGTTACAAAATCAATGTAGAGAAATCCCATGCAATATCCATGAACCTGTCCGCTGCTGACATGGACCTAATTATATCAAAATAAGTTACACATGGCTCCTCCAAGGATGATTCCAAAGCTTTTATTTACAGCAAATTATTCTGTAATGTTTCATAAGATCAAGATGAACCTGGAGTTCCTGAGTGGTGGGATCAGTCTCCTTGGTCAGCAGAATGCATAGCATAGAAATGAATATGAATCCTCCAAGATTGATCTTTCCATTTCAGGTTCTCCTGTTTTGGGGTACAAAGTGTGACCTAGATGATATTTTGACAAATTATTTGGGGTAATAAACGGTATATATTGGCATAGACCAAAAATGGAAAGAGGTCCAGGACTACTGAACCTCTTAATATACTACTATTCCACATAGTCGCCCAAGTTGTCCAAAGCCGAATCGCCACCGGGGTAAAATTTTGACCGACCGCTCATGAGGCACCTGCCCAAAACCGTTCCATAGTTTCAGAGGTAGAGGTCAGTCCATTTCGGAAGTTCCATACTGAACAAAACCACAAACGGTTTCCCTAGCTCATGGGCAGCGTTTTTTCACCTGCTTAGTGTGAACAAACCCACTGAACAGCACTCTCCTGGCTTGTCTGGGAAAGAAAGCAGGCATTCGTGAAGTTGACCGGTGTTTGCTGGGTCCAGTGTCCAATTTGGAGTTCAGACACTCGATTACCAAGTCCCGCTGACTCCTTTCGTGTGACAAGATGGCCGTTTTCTCCAGCATGTGGCGTTCGGTTATACGAACGTCGGCCACACAGGGAGAGTACTTAATCCTGCTGTTTCTTTATTGTTAATGAGCCAGGGGGTGGTCAGTGTTCAGTAAATTTATATACCGAACAAAGAAAAAATTAAGTTTGGGAACCAAAGAGTATAGTTTCATTCAGTCTTTCAGCAATTTGAGCTACAGTTGCCCTTTTGTGTGCTCGGGACAGTTGGGATAGCCCTCGCTCCTCATGTGTCTCAATGAGCCTTAGACACCCATAACCATGACAATGGCTCACTGGTTGTCCTTCCTTGTATTACTTTTGGTAGGTATTTTCTGCACACTGTGAGCACCCCACAAGACTTTCTGCTTTGGAGATGCTCTGGCCCAGTCATCTAGCCATAACTCTTTGGCCATTGTCAAAGTCACTCAGGTCTTTCACTTGCCTATTTTTCCTGCTTACAACACATGAACTTCAAGAACAGATTCTTCACTTGTTGTCTGATATATCCAACCTCTAGACCGGTGCCATTGTAATCATATAATCAGCTTTACTCACTTAACCTGTCAGTGATTTTAATGTTGTGGCTGATCAATGTCTGCTCCGGTTGCACAGTCTGGGATCAAATATGTTCTGTTTCTCAATGGGAAAAGTTTTTGTTTATTTTCTGGGGTGCAGTTGAGGTGGATGTCTGGGAAGAGATTTGGAAAGCAGCAGTCAAGTTTTCCAAATGTGTCACAGCACACGATATAGGTATAAAATTATGTTCCAATGGTACACCACTCTTGTCCAGTTATGTCCCATAGGGAAAATCCCCACTGATTATTGTTGGAGATAATGTAGATATCGTGGCTCAGACCTTCATATGTGGGCGGCCTGCTCAGTAATAGTCCCTTTCTGGGACGGAGTAGGGGATCTTTTGGCAGCAGTTTATCATAGGCCCTTTGATCTAGACCCCTGGCTATTACGATTGTCTAGAGACCTTTAGAGGGCTTCCTAAAGAAGGCTCAGAAATTGATCAACAAAATAACCTTAGCAGCAAGGAGACCTTTGATGGTATCATGACTAGAACTAAAATAGACGGAAATCATTTAATGGATCAGCTAATGGGCAGGGTTCATGACACCTTGCCCTCTTTCTATAAAGTTTGGGATTCTTGGCGAGGTTTCACCTGCATGACATAAAGACAGATGTTAGTCAGTTGCATTAGGTCTCATCTGTGGTGGTACCCCCTTGATTTATACAGTCAAGATGAACCATGGCACATATCTGTGAAGGGATGCGATCAGAGTTGTAGTGCTTTTTTTGTTGCAATTATAAAATGTTTTGTGCCAGATCACAGTGAGAGGATCTCATTGCTGCTAGGTAAGTAGCACATAGGTTGTTATGGTGTTTGGAATGTCCCTTTTAATTGTGGACTGTAATTTGCCCAGGCTTATATAAAATATGCAAAAGCTAAATAGATCTGTAATATTTTCTAGTAATTTTAATTGAATGGTATAGCAGTCAATATTTAGACTTTGTATGTGTAAATGGGTAAAATTAAATGCTACAAAATATCCTATTATCCTTGCTTTATCTTGTCTGTCTTTATAGGTAATGTGTAATTTTATCCTGTCCGTGTTTAATATTTATGTCTTCATTTTTCCAGGGGTCATGTTGACCTGACAATGTTGGGTGCTATGCAAGTATCGAAGTATGGAGATCTTGCAAACTGGATGATTCCGGTGAGTATTTTATCTATTACTATTGCAGTACTGGCCATGTTGATCCACATATTGGGAATTTATAACTTTGGGTAGAGTGGTACAACAAATAACAACAAAAAAAATACATATATGTAATTGCACCGATACGCTAAAATGGAACGTCACTTTTTAGCATTCCATATCAACGTTAGATAACGAGTCTTCTGCAGTGCTCTAAAATGTAACTTTAAATTTGGGACACAAAGCTAGCCCATGGGAAAAAAAAAATTCATGGCTAAATGGTTGTTTACCAATTATGTTGCTGATATGATCTGTGTTGATTTAGAAATTAGCAGACTTTTTTATTTTTTATTTTTTTATTTTTATTTATTGGAAGTTTACTTTATCTGAAAGAAAAGACTTTGTGATGCTTGACCTATTCTGAATCTGATGGTAATATAGTTCTTTTCTCGCACAATATAAACCAGACAGGGAGAATCTGGTAAAGAGTCAGCGTGTCTTTAAGTGGTTGGAGCCAGCACAGACATCTGAGAAAAGAGCATTACACAGTTGTGTTGGCTGCAGTTTAATATGCTCTTACTAAGGTGCCTCAGCTGAGCCTTGTGGGAGATATCAGTAACACCTGCAGAGAAGGTCGTGTATTGAACGAGGCGGGTGGGCACTCTGCTCTGCTTACACTAAAGATGATTTGGAGATTCAGGGATTGGTGAACTGCATATGAGGATGTCAGTCGTACAATAAAATCTTCCACTATAATTACTGAAAGAACTAATGTTGCATAAAGTCTGTTTCTGAAGCATGTAACAGAAGTTCATTATCTTTTCTAGCAGCATAAATACAAGTATTTTATCTATTAATTAGCTTTGATCTTTAAATGTGTAAAATCAGTTTGCTGGAGAGAATATCTAGTTAAATACTGAGAGATATATATATTTGTATGTGTGTGTGTCAATGTATATTACATAATGTTTATTTTTTACTTTCTTCAAAGACCTAGAGATGATTTTTTTTATTTTTTTTACCCATTTGCTAAATTGTGCCGCAAAAACTTAAACTTGCTACTCTACTAGTGAAAACATCTTTGAGTTTCTGTGTGTTTGTATGTATACATTCATACATACTTTCATGAAATAGATGCAAAATAATGCTGCGTGGTAGTAATTTTATTGGGCTAACAGTATTTTGGAATTACTAGTTTTTGGAAGTTGATTAATTGGTAAGAAGAGATGTTTACTATCAAGCCACATGTGACTTACTCTGTACTATTGTGGGTTATTCAAGTTTTAAAAATAAAAGCAACTTATAAAGTGCTTTTCTACTGGTAGTACTCAGAGGGTTTTGACCAATTTTGAATACTTTGTACCATATTATTGGCAATCCATGTAAGCAAAGGAGGGTTGGTGTCCCATGACAGATTTTTGAGTTGTTGGTTAAAATCCTTGCTGTGGCATTTTCTACTAGAGAAACTTGTGCTTGAGACCATGATTAAATGTGTTACAGTAGTCCAGATGGGGATGTGACCAGTGGATTTATTATTGTGAGAGATTCTCTGCTGAAATCAGGTGTTTGATTCTGTCAATTTTTTCAAATGAGGAATGAGGTTTGGACTGCAGCTCATTTGAGTCCCTGGGGTAAGTTCAAAATCAAGCATTATGCCTAGGTTTTTATCATTGATGCTGAAGTTCAGTTTTTAACATCCGTATCCCAGACAAATTTGATCTTAATGCAGCTTAGTTGCTAAGCTATCACACAGCTCACACCAATAACTAGTACCTGTGTTTTGTCACAATTTATTTTTAACCACTAATACTCCACTCCAGAACATTATCAAAGCATTTATTGATCCCTTTTTTTTTTTTTTTTTGAATACTTGATCTTGGTTTGAAGGAGATTTATGTCTGAATATCCTCATCTGCATTGCAGTGGTAGGATAGAACTTGTGATGTTTGATTTTTTTTTTTTTTTTGGGATATAATATTTTATTAAGCATAGTTAGAATTCTCTTGGACCTTTTTAAAAGCCTGCTGGCATTGCGATGAAGTGTTCTTGGTGCCTATAGTGTCCCTATAATGGTAGTGGTCAGTCAATTTAGGGTTTTTCCTGGCTAATCATGGCAGCAGTTAACTAGTGGGGTTAGCACCTTCCTCCAGCCAGTGGGACAGGAAGAACAATTAAATTATAGGAATATATATATATATAGTTACAGTGGCGTACACATGACCCATGGGGCCCCGGTGCGAAAATTGATCCGTGACTCCCCCCCCACGCTTACTCGGTGCAGGTCGGGGCTGCAACACACGGCGGCGGGCACCTGGTCGCAGGGGTTGCAGGGCTGTGACCCCGCGACCGCGGTATGCACACACACTTAAAGGACCACTACAGACACCCAGATCACATCAGCTCAATGAAGTGGTCTGGGTGCCAGGTCCCTCTAGTTTTAACCCTGCAGCTGAAAACATAGCCGTTTCAGAGAAACGGCTATGTTTCACTGAGGGTTAATCCAGCCTCTGGTGGCTGTCTCATTGACAGCTGTTAGAGGAGCTTCCGCGATTCTCACTGTGAAAATCACAGTGAGAAGACACTGAACGTCCATAGGAAAGCATTGAATAATGCTTTCCTATGGGCGGTTTAAATGCGCGCGCCTCTTGCCGCGCATGTGCATTCGGAGCTGAGAGGCGGAGGGATCCCCAGCACCAAGGGAGTCCGACGCTGGAGAAAGGTAAATGCTGAAGACACACGCACACTCTCATGAACAGACGCATACACACTAGCTAACAGACACACACATTTACTGACAGACACACTCAGCGACAGACATACATACACACTCTCTTACAAAACATACACTTTCACTGACAAACACACACTCACTAACAGACATCACACACCCAATAACAGACACACTCACTGACACACACACTAACACAAACACACACACACACACACACTTTTTTTTTTTTTAAATTTAATCCCCCCAGCCTCCTTACCTTTTTGGAGAGCTGGGGGGATTCCCTGGGGTCCAGTGGTGCTGCTGGGTGGGCTAGCTGTCTGGGTGGCAGGCGCGCGAGGGAGCCCTCTCCCCTGAGTGCTTCCTCTTCAGCTCCCTCGCGCGCCTCATAGGGATGCCGGCGCCAGAAGATGACGTCCTCTTCCGGCTCCGGCATCAGGGAGCTGAAGAGGAAGCACTCAGGGGAGAGTGCACCCTCGCACGCCGGCCACCCAGACAGCCAGCCAGCCCACCCGCCCGCCGGGGTCAGCAGGGCCAGCCTCGGAGGAGCCCTGAGGTGGCCGCCTCCTGAGCCCCCCTGGAGAAGAGGCTGGCCCAGTGGGTACATACCAGGTCGCAGGGGCGGCCGGGCCCCTTGGTGAGCCGGGCCCGGTTGCAGCCGCGACCCTGGTATGTACGCCACTGTATAGTTCCTCAGTCTTTTTTTACCTGTCATCTTAGCCATAAGAAAATACATATTTTTATGAAGGAAAAAAAAAGTATGATCACCTGTATGTTTCCTTTCCAGGAAGCCCCAGGTACACGTAGCCTATCACTATACAGTGGTGTATCCTGGTTTTTTGCTGCCCTAGGCAGGACAAAACGCAGGCGCCCCCCCCGCGCCAACCCCCCCTGCACCAACCCCCCCCGCCTTCTAAATACACACACACACATTCAATGACAGATACGCATACACTCGCTAACAGAAACACACACACTAACAGACACACTCACACTCACTAACAGACACACACTCACTAACACACACACTCACAGGCAAACACACTCACACAGTCAGACACACACACACTCACTGACACACTAACAGACAAACATAGTCAGACACACACACTAACAGACTCACTCACTAGCAGACACACACACTAA